CTGGGTGTTACGGAAAGTGTTCGCTTGCAGGGCATACCGGTCAGGGTGGCATACCTGGCGGATGGAAAGGCCTGTGAGAAGACACATGGCCCTGAGATACTAGGGCTCGACTAGAGAACTAGAAATCATTCAGTGTGGGGAGATCAGAGGGTGTATTTATTTTTCCCTTTTTCTTTTCAATATATTTTTTTAAGTTATGGAAATAATTCTGATGGTAGAAAAACTGATTTCTTTTCGTTAAATGAAATACTGCTTGAAATAATACTGAGTAACAATACATTTTATATTCTTTTTTTAAATATAACCTTTATTTGTTTATTTGTTTTTTAATCCTCACCAAGGACATGCTCATTGATTCTTAGAGTGAGAGGAAGGGGGGGCAAAGAGAGAGAAACATCGATTGGCTCTCTCCTGCACACTCCCTGACCAGGAATTGAACCTGTGACCTTTCTGGGTATGGATGATGCTCCAACCAACTGAGCTACACTGGCCAGGACTTAACTTATATTCTTAACAGTATCCTTTTCAAATTCTAAGAGTACAGGTACTGCCCAGCTGGTGTTGCTCAGTGGTTGAGCATCCATCCAGGAACCAGGAGGTCGCTGGTTTGTTTCCTGGTCAGGGCACATGTCTGGGCTGTGGGCTCTATCCCCAGTGCGGGGCGTGCAGGAGGCAGCTGATTGATGCTCTCATTGATATTTCTATCTCTCTATCTCCCTTCCCCTCTTTCTTAAAAAAAAAAAAAAAATCAATTAAAAAAACGTATTAAAAAGTACAGGAACTAAGAAATTTAAAGGCCTAGATTGATGGATTCCTCCATAATTGATTTATATTTAGAGAGCAGCTACCTGGGCCCACTTTAAATTATATTCTGGAAATAAGATCTTTTTAGATGACCTGAAAGAATGATTTCTGAATTTTCCTAGAATTCTTTTTTTTTTTTTTAATATATTTTATTGATTTTTCACAGAGAGGAAGGAAGAGAGATAGAGAGCTAGAAACATAGATGAGAGAGAAACATTGATCAGCTGCCTCCTGCACATCTCCTACTGGGGATGTGCCTGCAACCCAGGTACATGCCCTTGACCGGAATCGAACCTGGGACCTTTCAGTCCGCAGGCTGACGCTCTATCCACTGAGCCAATCCGGTTTCGGCTAGAATTCTTTTTAATACCATGCTAATTCATTTGATGCTTGAGATTAGAAAAATTTCTTCCTTTCATTCATTAAGTCAGGGGCTGGGAAATTACATCCCACTTACCTAATATGGCTGGTTGATTGGAACCTACCCATGCTTATTTGTGTGTCATTTATAGATGTTTTCCTGTTACAGTGGCAGAGTTGAGTAGTTGCAGCAGAAACCGTATGTTTTACAAAGGCCAAGACATTTATTATTTGGTCTCTTCCAAAAAAGTTTGCCGACCCCTGCAAACTTTGTTTCTGGTTCACATTACACTAAAGATGTAGTGCTTTGGGGCCTGCTATTATTCTGCCTTTGTCTCTAGTCCTCAGCACCCTGCAAGGCATAGCAACTAACGCTCAAGTTCATAGAACTTGGTAAATGTCTTCAAGGAGGACAGCGTTAGTGCTCTGCTTATCTCTGTGGGTTCCTGCTTTCACTTCATTTTTGGCCTCCGATTATACTTCATTTTCTTGCCATCCCATTGATTTGTTTATACTTTTCCATCATTGTTATTTCCAGTGGGAGGGTTATTCAAAAGATTGTTCTGTCACCCAGGAAAATACCATATGTTCCTGTTATCCATGATTTTAATGTATTTTGATCATTTGGGCCTTCTGTGAGCTGAGCTTCTATAAGCTCTTATGTGAAGCAGAATTTCATTCTTGGCATTATTTGTTAATCACAACATTTAATATTTCTCAATCATTGTTGGAAGTGGCATGCTATGGAAGATAATTGGACAGAAATTGTTAAATCACTCTGCAGCATATATAAAACAAATAAATTATGTAGGAAACATCCTAATGATGTGTTTACAGTGTGTTGAACTGTTGGCAAATGGGGATCCTTATTTGAGCAGATGCTATTTTATTTCTTGGCAAGCAGAGACTGTGAGTAAAAATTGAGAAGTGCTGTGGGATTTCTCTTTATTCCTCGTATTCTCAGAAGGGATATTTTAACTTGTGATCCATCAAGTAGCCTTCTTCGAGGCTGCGCAATTACAAATCTATAACTCTGTGAGTGCCTCTTAGCTGTCTGTTTAGGACAGTGATGGCGAGCCTTTTGAGCTCGGCGTGTCAGCATTTTGAAAAACCCTAACTTAACTCTGGTGCCGTGTCACATATAGAAATTTTTTGATATTTGCAACCATAGTAAAACAAAGATTTATATTTTTGATATTTATTTTATATATTTAAATGCCATTTAACAAAGAAAAATCAACCAAAAAAAATGAGTTCACACGCGTGTCATAGGTTCGCCATCACTGGTTTAGGAACTACTCTCCACCTTCCTCACCCAAGTACTCTCTGTTAGGTCGTCCTGTACCCTTTCCTGACAACAAAGATTTTACTTCTGCCTGAACCTCTCAACTCCTGCCACTGTCTCCTCGTATTACTCCAGTTTAAGTCCTGGCCGTGGGTTATAATGGGAGAGCATCAGGAAGGGGTCATACCTGATCTAGGTCCCTCTCCAGTATTTGTAGGTGAAACTCCTCCTTAATACCATGAGCCTGGGTATGCCTGTGAGATACAGGGGAGTTTACAGATCTTGATGTCCCATACCAGAGAACTACCATTACCACCTCTCAGAGCATTCCTTGATATGTGGGGCAAAGGGCATGAGTCTAGATTAGAATGAACTGGATTACTGAATCTTGGGGCTACCCTTTACCACTTATAAGGCCTGGAGCAAGTCATTTCACATTTCGGGGTCAGTTTCCTCATCTCTTTGGTGGGACTCATGCTTGCTGCCTTGTAAAGTTGTTGTATTATAGCAGTGATGGCGAACCTTTTGAGCTCGGCATGTCAGCATTTTGAAAAGCCCTAACTTAACTCTGGTGCCATGCCACATATAGAAATTTCGTGATATTTGCAGCCATAGTAAAACAAAGATTTAGATTTTTGATATTTATTTTATATATTTAAATGCCATTTAACAAAAATCAACCAAAAAAATGAGTTCGTGTGTCACCTCTGACACGCGTGTCATAGGTTCGCCATCACTGTATTATAGTAAGTAGCAGGTAGAGTGGATAACACAGAGCAAAAAGTGCTCCCTTCCCTCCCCCAACAGGGTGTAAGTTATAGGAGAGGAGAAGAATACAGCTTCTTACCCTCCCTTATTTTTGTAAGCAGCAAAAACTTTAGAAAACTCAAATTACTTCAAAGGTAGAAAAATGGGTAGAAGGAGAAACTGGGAAAGGGAAAGAGCCATGAGGAAACACGAAAGCAATGGAAAGGCAGGGGCATGGCCAGTCCTCGGCTGTCTGTGTTTTCACAGTTTACGTGTAATTACTCGGTGTAGTTGTTTTGAATGCCTTCTAGCACTTGTAGATTTGGAAACCGGTTACGACCCCGACCACCGTTTTTATTCACCTGGTGAATGTTCTTTTTAAAATAGTTATTTGATTTTGAGTTTTCATAGAGTCACTCATCTCAGAGCTACTTTGATAAACCTTTCTAGAAATAGTCTCTGTTGACGTTTAGATTGAAAATGTTTTTGTCTGTGTAGGAAGGTGAACCTTCTGGAAAAAGAAAAGCAGAAGATGATGATAAAGCAAATAAGAAGCATAAGAAGTACGTGATCAGTGATGAAGAGGAAGAAGATGATGACTGAAGCGCAAAGTGTGAAAACATTTATATATTTTATTGTACAGTTTGTCTTATAAATATGATGTACACATGAGTTATTTTGATTGAAATGAATTGATTTGCTTTTCTGTAATTTTAATTGTAATAAAATGTTTTTTAAAGACAAGTCTCTATTTAAGAAATTGACTTTTCCCAAAGCGAGTTGATTTTATTAATGTTGAGTCTTAGGTTTTCTTTTTCATATTTATATTTATTTATCTAATTTTTGAGTCTTAGATTATAGTGAATTCCTGCTGCTCTGATGCACCCCCTCCCGTCCCCCACAAGGAAGCCTCCTGGGCAGGGCCAGATGGGGCTAGTTAGGCATCCTTCCTACGGTACAGAGTTTAAAGGGGCACAAAAATGTCTATAATTGTATTACTTTGCTAGGGCTAACTAATACATAGTACCACCAGCTGGGTAGCTTGAAACCACTGAAATGTATTCTCGCACAGTTCTGGAGTCTAGAAGTCCCAAATCGGGTTCCTTGCCCTGTCCTGGCTTCTGGGGACTCCCAGTTACCCTTGGTCTCAGTCCCTGCCTCTTTTTTCACATGCCATTTCCCTGTGTGTCTGCTCTGTGTCTGTATCTCCAGATCTCCCTCTCCCAGGTGCACAACAGTCAGTGGGTTTAGGGCCAACCCTAATCTAGTGTGACCTCATCTTAACCAATTACATCTCTAAGACCCTATTGCCAGAGTCACATTCTGAGGTTCTGGGTGGATATGAATTTTGAGGGATCCCTCCCTACTGCAGTAATCAAGATTAATAATGTAATGCAACGTTTTAAAAAATTGAAACGAATGTCAAAAACCCCATGCTGAACAAAATATCAACATTTTACATAAAAACAGGATCTGCTCTTTCTGTGCCATGGTGGTGTGTGCAGTTGACTCTTGCCAAGTCTTCTCACAGGACTTTCAGGATTGAGCGGTTCCTGGCCAAGTCACAGAAGCAGAATGGCCTATTCCCCAACGGATTCCGGTGGAAACTGGCAATAAGATCAGGTACAACTCCAGGAGGAGCCATTGGGGAAGAACCAAGCGGGGTCTAGAAGGGATTGCACATGATGTAGCTCACCTGGTTATTCTGTGTCCGGATTGCTTACAATCTACCACATCACTGAAAAGATCACTACTATCTGTACAGTTGGGCGTGCTTTATTGGGAAATTATTGAAGAATGATTTTCCTCTTTGTTAATATGTTTCTGCACTAGTAGGTTGGGTCAGTGATAAATATGTGAGGCCTTTAAAAAAGACAGATGTGGCAGGACTGGGGTGAGGGTAAGGCAAGGGAGAGGGGCAGAGCTGGTTAGATTCTCTTTAAAATCTGTATTTTGTTCATGGTGTTTTGTTTTTGTCTTGTTTTGCATGGAACTTGAGAAATACTGCAATATTACTTATCTTGAACACTGAGATTTTGGCACCTCTTAGATTTCTCACACAAGGCGAGTATCTCACTTGTCGCATCCTGGTCCTGGCCCTGCCGTCGCACTACATGGTGGCTGAGTTCCACAGGTGAGTACCCCAGGGCGTGAGCCAGGTGGAAGCTGTATTACCGTTTCTTGCTTTCTCCTTTTATGACTAGCATCCAAAGTCCCATCAAGCCCTAGCTGGTTTGACTCAATGGGTAGAGTGTCAGCCTGAGAACTGAAGGGTCCTAGGTTCAATTCTGGCCAAGGGCACATGCTGGGTTGCGGGCTTGATCCTCAGGAGGGGGCGTGCAGGAGGCAGCCAATCAATGATTCTCATCATTGATGTTTCTATCTCTCTCTCCCTCTCCCTTCCTCTCTAAAATCAATAAAATATATTAAAAAAAAAAAAAGCCCCATCAAAATCCACCACATTCTGGTCATTTGAAATAAGTCAGTGATGCAAGCCCATATTCACAGGGTGGGAGTTTGACACCTCTTGATGGTAGGAATTAGCAAAGAATTTGCAGAGGTTTTAAATCCACCCCACACGTGTCTTTTCTGTAGTGCTCTCCTACATGCACTAATCTTTCCCCTGTGATTGGACTGCACCCCACTTCCTTCTACTGCTGTTAGTGCCGTCTGGGTGTGGTGGTTGTGGGAAGCCTACCTGGTTGCAGAGGAAGAAAAGCGACATCAGGAGAAGGTTCTGAATCACTATCGGTCACGTTCCTAACTCGGAAACCTTCAGTCCCTTTGCTGTTTTTCCTATCAAGTTGAAACTCCTCTCATGGCTTTAAAGAGCCTTCATTCTGACTCTCTCTTCCAAAGCAACATAGTTTTTTTTTGTTTGTTTGTTTTTAAGGAAAAAATTAATGTTTTAATATTGTTTAGTTATAATATGATTTTTTAAAATGGGGAAAATGTATACCTACACAATAGCCTGTCACAGTCGTGAATAATAAAATTACAGTTTCTGTTTCAAGACTTATCTTTTACAAATTTGTCAGTGATTTTGTGACAATTGAATTTTTTAGAATATATTTTTATTGATTTCAGAGAGGAAAGGAGAGGGAGAGAGAATCATTGATTGGCTGCCTCCTGCATGCCACCTGGGGGGATTGAGGCTGCAACCCAGGCATGTGCCCTGACCAGGAATCAAACCTGTGACCTACTGGTTCATAGGTTGACGCTCAACCACTGAGCCATATCAGCTGGGCACAATTGAATTTTTAAATGCATATTCATTTTCAATATAGGTAGATTTGTCAATTTTCACTTATAGTTTATCAAAGAATACTTCATTAATTTTAATTTCAAAAGTCTTATAAAGCACCAGATACTCATTATTAGGAAAAGTTACATATAAGGATACACTGATAGCAATTCATAAAATCTCATTTCATAATAAATGCCAGAAATTTCAACTCTTCCTTTCCTCCTAGATTAATTCTAGAAGTTTTCAGTGTCTGCAGTGGGGAAAAAAATTAAACACAATTAAAAACTAATCACATAGAATGGCAGAATTGAAGTCAAGTTCCATTTCTTCACTTTTATCGTTGTGCTGTTTACTGTTTAAACACAGAAATGCATAGTCCTTCATGAACTGAAAATATAAACTGCACCCAAAATGAGCTTGACTTATTCTGAACTGTTGTGAAACTACTCTTTAAACACGTGTGACTGATTCCCTGGGTGTTGGGAGGTTGATTGTATCACCAGAGTTCCCAAAGTAACTTCAGTGTGTTTGCAATTTTTATTTAAAGATAAATCATATGTGCTAATTTGAATATTACACATATATTATTAAAACAACATTCAACTGTAATTGCAGCAAGTGTAAAAAGTTAAAGCAACAGAAGTTTTGTTTTGGGAAAGAACATTTTATCATTGATGGTATTTAGAATTGCTGGCTACCTTTATTGAATGATCCCAAGGTAGGCCTCCCCCATCTGCCCTTTGTTTTTTGTCAGTCCTCACCCAAAGATATTTTTTTCCTTTGACTTCTTAGAGAGAATGGAAGGGGGAGGGAAGGGGGAGAGGAAGAGAGAGAGAGAGAGAAACATCGATGTGAAAGAGACACATCGATTGGTTGCCTCCTGCATGTACCCCAACCAGGGCCAGGGATCAAACTGCAGCCCAGGTATGTGCCCTTAACTGGGAATCGAACCCGCAACCCTTCATTCTGTGGGCTGACGCTCTAATCACTGAGCAACTGGCCAGGGCTGATCGGACCTGTTCTTGACACCCCACTGTTAGGAGATGGCTATTTTTATGAGAGTCACATAGTTCTGGTGGTTTTGTGAGCTGAGGCACTGACCGCCTTTGCTGTAGACTATCTTCCCAAGAAGCAACATGGAGCAGTTTTCTTTTTCTTTCTCCCCACGCTTAGCGATGCTGGGGCCAATCACGTTCCAGCTTTGCCTGCAGCCCCCTGTTAGGGGGCGCCACAGAAGCCTGGCTGGAAGCCTAGACAGGAAAGAAAAGATTGCTTCTTCCTGTTTGTTGGTGGGACCTTCTGGGGGCTTCCTGTTGCCTTGCAGGTCTCTGGGGGGCAGCACTCCTTGGCCCCACAGGGGCAGCTCCTCCCACAGCAGCCCGCTCCAGCCTGCAGTGTTGCTGACACCTGGAGGCCAGCTCTGCCCTGCTCCCCCAGAGACCCAGCGGCAGCTGGACACTTGCTGAGGTAAAGCTCCGTCCCACAAGCTCAGTTAGGGATCCCACCTCTTCGCTCTGAATTTGCTACTTCTGTGAGCCCTTAGCCGTCTCCTTTTATACTTTTTGTAACGTTATTAACAACTTGAAACCTAAGTATATTTTTTTAAGGTAACTTCTGTATAGGCAACTGGTATGTTTCCTGTTGCCCAGCTAGGGCCTGAGGAAACAAATCCTCAGAGATGCTTTTTGGAGGTTGGTGTGGGTTTGCACGCAGGACTGGGCTCCTCAGCACTGGGGAGCAGATGCTGCTCATCAGGTTCCCCCCTTGGCTGGGGCTCAGGTGGCTGCTCCCCTTGTGTGGCAGTGAGGGCTGTAAGTCTGCTGTGTGGGATGGATACTTCTAAGTGTCCCAGAAATGACCACAAGCTTAGGTCTTCTTTATTTTTTTTTTAGTTATTATTTATTTTTAATCCTCACCAGAGGACATGCTTAGAGACAGGAACGGGGTGGGGGACAGGGGACGGGGAGAGACCTGTGATGAAAGAGAAACCTCAATTGGCTGCCTCCTGCATGCCCCCCACTGGGGATCAAGCCAGCCACCCTGGTATGTGCCCTGACCTGGGAATCGAACCCGCAACTTCTCAGTGCATGGGACAACTCTGAACCAACTGAGCCACGCCAGCTAGGGTGGGGTGGATACTTCTGAGTGCCCCAGGGCACTTACAGAAACAAAATCACAAGCTTAGGTCTTTTTAAGTAATTAATTTATTTTTTAATCCTCACCTGAGGATATGCTTAGAGAGAGGAGAGAGAGAGAGAGAGAGAGAGAGAGAGAGAGAGAGAGAGAGAGAGAGAGAAAGAAACATCTACTGGTTGCCTTCGTACAAGCCCTGCAGGGAACTGAACTGGCAACCTTTCGGTGTGCAGGATGACACTCGACCAACGGAGCCACACGGGCCAGGCACCAGCTTAGGTCTTTTAAATGTTTAGCTCCAGTCATGGTCAGAGAACCAGTGTGCTTTCGTGACTGCCCTGAAGGAATCTCATATTTACAGTCAGAGGGCTAAGGTCACTGAAAATCGAACAGCATTTAATCATGTGACTGCAGAATTACCACGTCAACTAAATTCACAGCCTCGCCAGGTCTTTGTGTGAAAGGGCATTTGGTGGAGAAGGAAACTATTAATGAGGAAATCTGGACTCAGATGAAGCTCAAAACCTCAATTTCCAGTCAAAGCTCAAAAGCTCAATTTCCAGTCACTCAGCCTCCCTGTCCTGAGGAAACTGTCCTATTCTGTTTGAAAACACTGTGATAACAAGACCTGGGCCAGTTTCCATTCTTGACTCATCCAACTGACCCACTTTTTACCAGTGACCCATCACTAGGATCTCATCACTTAGCAAAGAAAGCACAAACGGACTAGAAATAGCTTATGCACCAAAAGAACTACAATATTTTCCTAATAAATACAGGCAGAGCCTGGGGAATATGTGTGGAAGTGGGTCTAATAATGAGATGAAGGACAGACTGGAACACTAGTTTGGGCCAAATTTACTGATCTGGGTGCACGTGTATATTCTGAGTTTGATGTGTTAGCACATACAACAGGACATGGCTCTCTACTTGTTTCGTTAATGAAAGCAAACTCAATGGTTACCTCCATTTAATGAAGTTGAAATGTCCAAGCTTCCCTGGAATTATGTGAAGGGAACCCAAAGACTTAGGGAGATAGGATTGTTGGGGTACACATCTCATGTGACCTGCATACCACCCCTTACCTTCTCCAGCTACCTCCCTTGAGAGGCCAGCTAAAAATAATAAGTATTTAGCATACCTCACAATTTCTGAGGGTTAGGGCGGGCTCAGTAGGGTGGTGCTGGCTTGGGGTCTCTCAAGAGGCTGCAATCAAGACATTGGAGCCCTGACTGGTTTGGCTCAGTGGATAGAGCGTCGGCCTGCGGACTGAAAGGTCCCAGGTTCAATTCCGGTCAAGGGCATGTACCTTGGTTGCGGGCACATCCCCAGTGGGGGATGTGCAGGAGGCAGCTGATCGATCTTCCTCTCATCGATGTTTCAAACACTCTATTCCTCTCCCTTTCCCTTCCTCTCTATAAAAAAATCAATAAAATATATATTTTTTAAAAGACATTGGATAATGCTGAGACTGCATTATCTGATGGCTTGCCTGGGGCTGAAGGATCTGTTTCTAAGCCGGCTCCCCCGGTTCTTGGCAGGAGGTCTCAGTTTCTCACCACAGCCTCTCCATAGCAGCTTGAGTGCCTTTGCATCATGGCAGCTAGCTTTCTCTAAAGCCAGTGACCCAAAAGAGAAATCAAGGCAGAAAAGCCACAAGTTTGCCCTGGCTGGTGTGCTCAGTAGTTAGAGCATCAGCTTGCAAACCCAAGGATTCCTGGTCAGGGGTACATACCTGGGTTGCAGGTTTGATCCTGGCCCCAGGTGGGGCATGTGCAGAAGGCAAAGCAGTCGATGTTTCTCTTTCTCCCCCTCCCATCATCCCTCCACTTTCTCTAAAAATCAATGGAAAAAAATATCCTCAGGTGAGGATTAACCCCCCAAAAAAGTAAAAAAAGAAAAAAAAAAAAGAAAGCCATAAGTTCATGGCTTAGCCTTGGAAGTGAGGTTATATTCTATTGATCACACAGACCAACCAGGACACAGTGTTGGAGGGGACCACACAAGGGCAAGGATATCAGAGGCAGGAATTGAGAAGTATCTTGAAAGCTGACCGTCACAACAACTTTGCTTTCCACCAAATTTATCACCTTCCTTCTCCATAGATACTCTCCTCAGGCTTCTGAGGGCCAGGCTCAGGGAGCCCGTTTGAGGTTAGGTTTGTTGAGATTTGGTTTATGAATCTTGGGAATATGTTGAAGTGATAGGCTAAGAACCATCTGAAGAATTTTTCAGAGAAATTTCAACTGTGCATTTCTCTCCAACATGGAAGCTTCTAGTGGACCATGGATCTGTTTGGAAACATAGATGATATTTCTTCCGAGAGTGATGATGACAGTCAACCACCTGTTCTAGGACAGCCTGTTGTAAGTACGGTCACTAATCTCAACTGGTCCCACTGTTCAAAGCGAAGGGAGAATTTCCAGAAGCCCTGACTTTCATGTGGAGAGAGCACAGGGAGAAGAACAGCCTGAAACATCTGGTGAATGGGTGACTTTCTTAGCTGTGATGCGAATTTCTGGCTGTTATGGGGCATAAAAGGAACTGCTTAGAATGAGGTTGATGTCAAGCTTTAGAAGCTAGACTGTCATGACTCAAAATTTAAAAACCTTTGATTTAAAAGTTATTCAAACCTGTGCCAATTGTAATAGTTACTTAGCTTTGAGGGATTGCATAATTTCACACTTCTGTTGTTAAATATCTTTTTTTTTTCACTTTTATTTTTTTATTTTATTTTTTTTCTCTTTTTTTTTGTTAAATATCTTATGCAAACTCGGTATGTCAGCAAAATAGACTTTTTTTTTCTTTTTCTGGTAACACAGGCTACTAACTCTTGTGAATTTTGTGGTGGGGGTAGGAGAAGAGAGGATGAAACTTTAGGGAAAGGTCTGGAGGGGTTGCTAACTGCTTTATCCCTAAACTGGTGTCTAATTGTACTTCTGGTCAAACCTGCATCTGCCTGGTGCGAGAGGCGAGCTGGGCATTTCCAGTGTCACGTCAAGCTCTCACGTCCTGGTTCTTCTCTAGCATGCACGGGGATTGCCTTGGGACCTGCAGGAGGAAGAGCCGATTTCTGACACCAGGATAGAAGTGGAAACTCCCTTCTTCAGATCTGATTTAGGAAACGAATTGCATTTCGTTAAGCTACCCAAATTTCTCAGCATAGAACCCAAGTAAGAGAACTGATTCAAGTTTTCTTTTTCTCAAGATATTGAATGAAAACATGTAGAATGTAAATGTGTTTTCTTATTTATCATGAGTTGGTGAATCACAAAGATGGGAGATTTCTCATCTCATGAAAAAATAAGTTTATGATGTTCTGTGGTAGAAAAATGATAGATTACTGGTGTGTGAGTTTTTTTATGTTAACATGGAGTTTCTAATGTGAGGATTTTTAACCTTTTTTAAAAAATATATTTTTATTGATTTCAGAGAGGAAGGGATAGGGATATAGAAACATCAATGATGACAGAGAATCATCAATTGACTGCCTCCTGCACACCTCCTACTGGGGATCGAGCCCACAACCCCAGGCATGTGCCCTTGACCAGAATCGAACCCAGGACCCTTCAGTCCATAGGCTGACGCTCTATCCACTGAGCTAAACTGGTTAGGGCTAATGTGAGTGAGATTTAATGCTGATAATTCTTGTAACATTTAGGCACTTTTCTTAAAAACAAACAGATGCCTCAGCCAACAAAGGAATGTTTTATTAGTCTGTAAAGCCTAAAAATCAGAAAATGAGAATGAGGAAGTTTGCTAGAGAAATTGCAAATGTTCAATATGAAAGCCATCGTGAATCTAGAAAAGAATGATTTGGGACAAGAAAAGAGTGTTAATTGGTATTATTCACAAAGGCGCAGGAGTGCAAGCAGTTAAACATGACATTTCTTTTTAAAAAAACATTTTTATTGATTTCAGGGAGGAAGGGAGAGGGGAGAGAGATAGAAACAGCAATGATGAGAGAGAGTCACTGATTGGCTGCCTCTTGCATGCCCCACACTGGGGATTGAGCCCACAACCCAGCCATGTGCCCCAACTGGGAATCGAACCTTGATCTTCTGGTTCCTAGGAGATCAACCACTGGGCCACACTGGCCAGGCAACATCACACTTTTCTTTGAAAATATGGAGAGATAGATCATGTGTCACCTATAATTAGAAGACATTTTATCAAGCGAAGAAGACTGAATTATTTAGTCACATTTCGATTTTATTTCATGTAATATATTTTTAAATCGAATTTCAAGAGAGTACAGTAATTTTTATATTTCCTTGAAATTTTTACATGAAGTGATTCGCCTACTGGATTTTTAAAAACACATTGGTGCATGTTGTTAAGATTATAATTTGTAGTATTAATCATATTCATTACTAAATATGGCTAATCGACATTAAAAACAATTTTTAGACCTTTTGATCCTCAGTATTATGAAGATGAATTTGCAGCCGAGAAAGTGCTTGATGAGGAAGAGAGAACCAGGTTAAAAATAAAGGTAAAGTTCACTTTAATCCTTTCTTTTGGTAAGTTTTTCCTTTGCATAAAGTAAAATACCGGGATAATAACTTGAGACTTGAGCTTATGAAATGATCTTCCATATTTACTATTCAATCAATAAATAACAGTTTAGAACAAGGAATTAAATGCCTTTTCAGAATATTTTTAGGGGAGAAGGTACATCATCCTTTTTTAATCCCAGTAGAATTGTCACTTTTCTAATCTTTTATTTGTAGTTGTAATTTTTTGACAAAAGACAAAAATTCTTGAAAATTGTTGGCTACCTCTTTTGGGATAAAGATAATGTAGCAAGGGCCATGGAACTGCCTGCACATTTCACAGTGGACAGATCATAGCAACTTCCCACAATAGAACTATCTCAGGCCCTTTGTGGGAATTCAGACTGGGCACAAAAAGGGACCTCGTCATTAGGCAGTTCCTCTAGGGATGGCCAGGCACTACCATTGCTCTCACAGGGGTTTCCCATGCACTTCTGCCAGGGGCTCCATTAGTGGCCGTGAGCAGGATCCACTTTTTTACTACTTTTGTGACTTGGAGTTTCCTACCATAAGGGGAGGGTAAACTTGAATTAAAAAATAGGACAAAGCACAAGTCTCAAGTTTTAATTTGTTAATTATTTAATGGTTTATTCTTTTAAAATGTTATTTAATGGAATGTCCAGAGCTTTTGTTTGTTTGTTTGCTTTTTAAATATATTTTTATTGAGTTCAGAGAAGAAGGGAGAGGAAGATAGAAACATCAATGATGAGAATCATTGATTGGTTGCCTCCTGCATACCCCCTACTGGGGATCGAACCTGCAACGCAGGCATGTGCCCTTGACCAGAATCGAAATCAAGACCTTTCAGTCCGCAAGCTGACGCTCTATCCACTGAGCCAAACCAGCCAGGGCCAGAGCTTTGTTGTCTTATTAGACTAGGGGGCACTTTTTTAGTCCTTCTTTCATTGGGTTCAAGGCCCTTCAGGTGGCCCTGCAATAGGCAGACATGCCGGTTCTAACTGCCTACTCAGGTGGACCCAAAGCCTCACCCTGTCTCCCTTGAAGCTCTTGATGCACTGATAAGAACTCCTTCCTGCATCGCATTTAGCTTCTGCTTCCACTGCTATGCGCTGGGGCTCAGAAAAGATTTAAACAAAATGTGTGGTTAGTTTAACCAATATCTCTAGGTACTTGTAGCAGAAGGGTTGCAGTGTGGCCCAATCAGCTATTTTTTTGGAGGCCTATTCTATCACTACCTATGGATTCTTGGCACATGATCATAAGTCACTCAAGGAATAAAAAATATGCAGTGCCCTAGCCAGCTTGGCTCAGTGGATAGAGCATTGGCCTGCAGACTGAAGGATCCCAAGTTCAGTTCGGGTCAAGGGCACATGCCTGGATTGTGGGCTCAATTGATTCCCGGTCAAGGGCATGTATCTCAGTTACAGGCTCCATCACAGCCCTGGTCATGGCATGTGCAGGAGGCAGCCAATCGATGTGTCTCTCTCGCATCTATGTTTCTCTCTGTCTCTCCCCCTCCTTTCCACTCTCTCTAAAAATCAATGGAAAAATATCCTCAGGTAAAGATGAACAAAAAAAAGAGAAGAAAAGAACATGCAGCTTGTCACACCGGTGCCTGATGCCTCTGTGTTCTGAGCAGGTAGAAAACACTGTGCGATGGAGGGTGCGCCGAGACACAGCGGGAAACGAGATTCAAGAGAGCAACGCCCGGATGGTGAAGTGGTCAGATGGAAGGTGAGCGCAGACGCCTGAGCAGCGATAAACACCCAGAGGGCGGCCTGCGATGAGTGTGAAGTTTTCTGGGTAGGACCTCATTTTGGGGTCATCTCTCATTCAACCATGAACAAACTCTAGGCCTCTGGGAAAGCTGAGAAAAATAAGTAGGGTTGCGATCATGGTGCTGCACTGGTGGGAGACTTTATTATTATAATATATTTTTTAAAATATATTTTTATTGATTTCAGACAGGAAGGGAGAGGGAGAGAGAGATAGAAACATCAATGATGAGAGAGAATCATTGATCGGTTGCCTCCTGCACGCCCCCTACTGGGGATTGAGCCCACAACCCAGGCATGTGCTCCTGACCGGAATCGAACCCGGGACCCTTCAGTCCGCAGGCTGATCCTCTATCCACTGAGCAAAACTGGCTGCGGCTGATGGGAGACTTTAGCAATGGTCCCAGATGTGATGGAATTCATGGTGTCTACCTACTGAGCTATGAGACATTATACATTGCTGTGTTTTGAAAAACTGATTTACTAATGAAGTGGTAGAGATTGGGAAGTTGACAAAACAACAATATTTCGAGCTGAAAGGAGATGGGTTTTACCACCGTTTGCTTTGGAAGGAAGTAGGTTAGTTATTTACAGTATGTTCTGAGGAATCAGGATGAGGACAGGGCCCTGCAGTTCCACCGTGTTTTAAGTGAAGCGGTCAGGGTAGCACGGGAACTGGAGGACTGGCTGACCAGCCGCCCTAACATCACCTGCTTCTGGTTTGCAGCATGTCCCTGCACTTAGGCAGCGAAGTGTTCGATGTCTACAGAGCCCCACTGGAGGGCAACCACAGCCACCTGTTTGTGAGAGAGGATACTGGTCTGCAGGGACAAGCCATCTTTAAATCCAAGCTCACCTTCAGGTAACTATTCAGACTGATGCGTTGTTATTATTTGCAATTAAAGAGCAACAAGGAAGAGAGAGGTTGTGCAAAAAGCCCAACTCAGCCCTGATGACCTAATTTCAAGGTACAGTTCACCAAGGACCATGGTCTGGTTCCCGTTCTATTTTTCACCTTTGCTGCAAGTTGCAGTTTCTCGGGGAGCCAGCTCATGCTCTCAGACCACCAGGAGACAGTGTGTAAACCAGAAGACCAGTGTATGAATTCACCTTGACCAGTGCACCTCCAGAGGCCTGAAGACCTGTCTGTGCTGCTCTGCTGGTCAGCGTGTCCTTTCCCTTTCCTGGAATTCACCCGGGAAGCTAACTCGTCATGAGTATGTTGGTGTGTGCATGCAGAAGAGCTAGATGGTGTGACAGGCTGCTGCCTGACCCCAAGCAGGCTCAGTGCTGCGTGTCTGTGCTTCTGCCCTTCCCTGGGCACTGCACGATGGCTCCTTCTCACTGCTCCCCTCTGAAGGACACTTTAAAGACTGTAGCAGCATGCACAAGGCTTTTCTTAGGGGTCATGGAAAAGCTCTCAAATCAGATTGCTGTAGTGCAAATCAGATGGTTGTTGCACAACTTTGTAAATTAAAACATTATTTAATTGTATATTTAAATGGGTGAATTTTATGATAAGAATCATGTTGTGCAGAGACTTGATAATTCTGTTGCTCTGTTTATTTGTTTATTTTATTTTTAGAGAGAGTGAAAGTGAGGGTGAGAGACAAAGAGAAACATCAATGTGAGAGAAACACATTGATTGGTTGCTTCTTGCACATGCCCCGACTAGGCCAGGGATCGAGCCTGCAACTGAGGCACGTGCCCTTGAATAGAATGGAATCTGAGACCCTTTAGTCCACCAGCTGATGTTCTATCAACTGAGTCAAACTGGCTAGGGCTGCTCTGGGTTTTTTAAAAATTTGTTTTATTATTACTGACAGTATTACAGATGTTCCCCATTCCGCCCCACCCCGTTACCCTCTCTACCAGCTCCCACCTTGCCCCAGGCCTTCACCACACTGTTGTCTGTGTCCATGGGCTATGCACATCTATATATATAAAAAGACAGTGACCGTAACACCGTAACAACCAGAATGACCAGTCGCTATGATCCCCACTGCGGCCAGCGAACCGGCCTGATCAGGGGGTGTGGCCCCTCACCCCAGCCAGCCCCACCCCTGAATACCCCCCACCCCAATAGGGGGTGGGGCCGGCCAACCTCCTGCAGCCCCTCCCCCTGGCTGGTCCCACCCCCTCTGGGTCCCCACCACCCCCATCAGCCTGCAGCCCCTCTCCCTGGCCGGCCTCACCCCTGCTGGGCCCCTACCATCCAATCGGCCTGCAGTCCCTCCCCTGGCCAACCCCGCCCCTGGTCACCCCCCCCATACCAATAGGGTGTGGGGCTGGCTGGCCAACCTCCTGCAGCCCCTCCCCCCAGCCAGCTCCACTCCAGATCAGCCCCCACCACCCTGATTGGTCCATGGCCCCTCCCACCAGCCAGCTCCACTCTGATCAGCCCCCCTCGCACCAGTCAGGTGGGGCTGGCTGGTCAACCTCTCATGGCCCCTCCCCCAGCCCCATTCGGAGGCAGGCCAGCCAGCCAACCTCCTCCTGACAGGTGCAGCCCTAATCCGCCAATTGGGGCTGTGCTGGCCAGACCCCACCTGTGCATGAATTCATGCACTGGGCCTCTAGTATGCATATAAGTTCTTTGGTTAATCTGTCAGTCTGTTCCATGCATCATACCTCCAGACCTATTTTGTTCATCAGTTTATCCTGTGCTCTGTTTTAAAGACTGTAATGGGTGGCTCTGAGGTTGTGTGTTTCACATCTGACCATGTGAGCTTGAGGAGGAGTCTTGATCTCACAAATGTTTGGTTTCCTCATCTATAAAATGGAAACATCTACCTCACAGGGATGTTGTATCAGTTAAGTCAAATAATACATAAAATTATGTCGTGCAGACCTGGCACACTAACTGTGGCTCAGATCCAACCGCCTAATGGTCTCCTCTGGAGTGGCACCCTGAAGGACAGGGCTCTGTGCGTGTTTTCCACCGTGCCCATGCTGCACGCTGGGACAGTACTTCACCGCCCATCACAGTTTCATTCCTCCCGTCCCTTCTCTCACAGCCATGCTCTCCTTCCAGACTCCCTCCTGATGCACTTAAAGCCGCTCTCCTTTAGCCAGGGTGCAGGGGCTCCTGTCCCACGTGGCCCCCTGAGCGGTCATGAGGCCCCAGACCACTGTGACCCTTCTCCTTGTTTTGACCTTCCTTCCGATTTTACTCAGATGGAGGGACTCATCTTTAGTTCTGAAACTGTGCCTTCCGGCCTTTGCGCCACCCTCGCGGAACTGAGCTTCCCTTCCCTTCTCTTCTAGGATTGTGGTTGGGGTTTTCTTTATAAAAGCCCTTACCCTGCCATGGCCTCTCCTCCTCCACTCCACTCCCACTTCACCCCATCCGACTCTTCAGGGGTTGGGGTGGAGGAAGGCAGTCCTCGGGAGCCAGAGAATGGGGGGGGGGGGGGGGGCAGGAGCACCAGGGCCGGGGCCCTGCTCCTGCTCTGCTCAAGGGAGGTAGTCATTGTCCACAGCAGTTTGTGCGCTATGATTGCCTTCAGTGTTCTTAGTAAACAGGCATTTTTGTTCCTTTCCTGCAGACCTCACTCTACGGACTATGCCACCCATAAGAAGATGACCCTGCCGCTCGCTGACAGATGCTCAAGGACGCAGAAGATTAGGATCATACCAATAGCTGGCTGTGACCCCGAGTGCCAGCGCACCGAGAAGATTAAGGTGTGTTGGCTGCGCTTTATCCTGGGACTTGGGGGTGCTAAGAGTTGTGCTTTCCAGAATATTAATTCGCCACTTCTTATTGCCACAGGCAGTTTACCTCCTGTGGTTATCAGGGAGCCAGCTTAACCTCCTAAACGTGTGGTTAACCACAGTAATGCCAACAGCCATGGGTGAGACAGAGCAAACCAGACACTCAGGTGCTCTCCCTCCAATCTGTGAGGTTTCAGATGAAAACGTAATTTTTTAAAAAAATGTAGCCTTTGAGAGATATCACAAAATTGTGTTAGCCAGATAAGAAGTGATATAGGAAGGTCAAAGGACATTCCTGACTCATTCGATACTGGCCCTGCTTTATGAACCCCAACATGTGGAGTGCCAGGCAGATGAAGGGGATGAAGGCTCTACTTTGGGGCTCAGGGACCCTCCCCTGCCTGCACGTTCTCACCCTGTTGTCGGGAGCTGAGGGGCCCAGACAGGAATATCTGGGCTCTGTGGTGCTTTGGTGGAGCCTGGGCCAGTCAGGTGTCTGTCTCTTGGGAACAGAAACGGCCTCCCTCAGGCATTGCTGGGCATGAGGACATGGCTCAGCTGGTCGCTGCTCTCTGGGCTCTGACTGGCAGCACAGGGGACGTGGCGGCTCCCGAGGCTGTGCCTGTGCCAGTTCTGATCGGACGGACGGTGTGAGGGGCCGTCTGCCTCTTCACCCTGGTGTGGCCTTCACGCCTTAGAACTGAACAGGCAAGCGCTGTGTGAGGTACCAGGTGTGGCTTGGAGAGATCTGTACTCTGCAGACACGGGGAACACATAAAAGTAGGTTCCAGTGAGCACAAAAGTTGTTCATTTTTAAGTTCACTGGTTTATTGGCTTCTTTACAGAAAGAAAAACAACGCTTGAGGGCTTCTACTCGCCGAGGGACAATCCGTCTTCGGGGGAAGCAGAATCGGCAGGGCCCGAGTGCCCGCTACCAAGAGTCCCACAGTGACAGCGAGGAGGAGGAAGGTAATTCAAAACCAGTCCCAGGGGAACTCGGAGATGAGTCGGTGTGGAGGTAACATTTCAACTGAGCCACGGTGCCTGCTTTTGCCCTGGTGGGCTCTTATTCCCTGGCCTGCTGTTTCTTAGCGGTACAGAGGTCTCTTATTATTTTAATAATTCTTTATTATTGAAAATATTGGATATGTCCCCCTTCTCCCCCATTGACCCCGTCTAGCCCACCCTTGGCCCCCGTCCCAGGCCTTCAGCACCCTTCAGCACAGAAAATGTCTGTGTCTATGGGTTATTTTTGTTGTTGTTAGGACCACTTTCCCATAGAAAAGCTAAGCTGGGCAACTAACGCAAAATAAAGGAAATCAATTAAATAATTCTGTCCTATGGAGGAAAATGTGTGATAGGCAGTTTGCTTGCTTGTATAATTAAGGACCCAATATTAAACTTGGCAGTTTTTTAAAAATGTGTGCTCTAAGCCTCGTGGGTATTTAAAAGTGATTAGACAATTTTTCTGAGAACAAACCTCAAATCTAAGTTATTTCTGCCAGTCACACAGGGGTGGGCAAAAGTAGGCTGACAGGCATTTGTACGGAGGAGGACCTGCAGGTTATGGCTATCACAGTGGCTTCGTTACCTCGGCACAGCGGCACGGGGCCCTTAGGCCCCTCTCACAAGTTCCCATTGCTGGCCCTCGTTATTGACACTCTGGTCTCCTTGCGAAACTCAAGCACACGTTGGCACAGAGTTCTTTCCTACCTTTGCCCACCTGTTTGTACCTCTCATCACAACTTTAAAAAAACTGTTGGCTCCTCGAGGGAACACGCACAGTGGACAGTGACAGTGCGAATTCAGAAGAAAAATTCAGGAGTAAATGGGTCTCATCTTGGAGGGTCAGTCTCATGTCTCAATTCCTTTGCTTTCAGAGGCACAGGCCAGAATCTGTTTGTCAGACAGCGATGAAGGATCAGAAGAAGAAAAGCCTCAAGGATTACTGAGAGCAAAGCAACTCACCAGTGATGAGGTAAAAGCAAACATACTCCATTCAAAAGGGTTTGCCCTGTACCCAGGAGCCAGCTTCTAAAGAGGAGCTTGTAGCCTAGCACACAACAGGCGCCCACACACCTGGCTGGGCCTCAGTGAGATGAACGCAGTACCAGGACTGGGAGTGAGCTGCCCTAGTGAGGGAGAGTGTTGGCTTGGAGGGGACACCGGCCAGGGTGGACCTGCCACGGAGACGCAGAGGCCTGTGAGGAAGGCGCAGGGCCCTTGGGCACCAAGTCTTGTCTGGAGAGCTCGGAACAGTTCAGTGTGGGAGAGCAAGGGGTCTACCATGTCCCCTGTGGTCACTGGGTGTCTTTCTTATTTGGGTATAATGGTAGTGGAGCATTATTTCATTTCCATGTTATTAAAATGTTTTTCCTTTAATTATTTCCTTTTCCATGTATAGGATCCTAAGTGCAAAGATATTTTAAGTCTCAACTATACAAGTGAATCACTGTTAGTGCCCATAAGCCATATTCCTTCCTTCAGTGTTTGCCGAACACTTAACATGCTCCGCTCTGTGTCCTGGAGATAGAGATGGGAGTAAATGTCGCAGTAACAGGGATGTTCAACTGAACATGGGTCACTTGTCTAAGTGAAGCATTCATTTTCACTCATTCATATATAAATACATATTTCAAATTTTAAAAGCACAGGAAACACCAGTAGTCCTTTAAAAAAAAATCAGCGAGCTTTAAAGTGCTGAATTTTAGAGAGTAAAGTATAAGGAAGCGGACAAATGCATCTCAAGTATAATATTGTAGAAATCCTAGTCGGCGGAGCGAGGAGTGCCCCTCTGGCTCTGACCGCCATTCAGGGGAAGCGCGGTTTCCATTGCCTGACCTGCCAGACAGGTCACCAGTGGGGGGCTTGAGTTCTCACGTGAAGGCTGGCTCCTCAGTCAGCTCCGGACTACTTCCGACAAAATTGCCAGGAACGTGTTTGGTACTGAATTTTACCTCTTGTCTCTCATATTTTCTAGGTGAACCCTACAGAAGTAGGAAAGCAGGGGAAGAGAAAGATGACAGACGCATAAAACCTGCTCTCATTGTCTGTATTGTTTTCAACAGTTGTTGTTTTTTTTACTATAGTTTTTTTTATTGATTTCAGAGAGGAAGGGAGAGGGAGAGATAGAAACATCAATGATAAGAGAGAATCCTTGGTTGGCTGCCTCCTGCACGCCCCCTACTGGGGATCGAGCCCACAACCCGGGCATGTGCCCTTGACTGGAATTGAACCTGGGACTCTTCATTCCGCAGGCCAACACTCTATCCACTGAGCCAAACCTGCTAGGGCTTAACAGTTTGTTTTAAAACAATGATGAAATGTTTTGTTTGATGAACTGAGTTATTTTTATATAATCCTAGTTGTGAATAAAAAATGTTCAGAAGCAAGTCTGTGACTTTAGAAAATCCAGTTTGTGTTTGCTCTGGATCTTAGGTTTTCTTGCCTTCCTGCCCTTCTGCCTCACCCGATCCCTGGTGGGGCCCAGAGGTAAGCTTGGGTTTAGCTCCGGTACTGCCCCCTCCCCCGCCCCCCCCCCCCCCCCCACTCCCCGGATGTCCTCCCTGTTCTGCCAGCTGGGTCAGGCCCTTCTGTGTCCTGTGTTAACTTTCCATTGACCACATAGCCCTGGGACCTTGGAAGGGTAGGTACAGCATGGAGGGACACTGGGTGCTAGATGGGCCCTACAATTCTAAGCCTCAGAACAAGTTGAAGGACAGGACTGTTATTCCCATTTTACAGATGTGGAAGCTGAGGCTTAAAGAACTTAAGACTGCTGTCCAAAACTTTTTCTTCCCAAGGAAAATCAGCCTTTTTGAGACAAGAGTCAGGATTTTCTATGCACAACCACAATACTGAGCAGATGTATTAATGACTTTATGGAGAAACTAGAGGCCTGATGCACGAAATTCATGCAAAGGGCTGGGCCCTCGCAGCTGCGGCAGTTTGCCCTGACCCTCACAGCTGCAACTGGAAGGATGTCCAGTCTAATTAGCATATTACGCTTTTATTATTATAGAAGAGCAGTGGGAAACAAAACACCAGATTCAACTTCTAACTTTGTGGTTGGTGTAGCTGGAAGGTAGTAGGTACCTAATAAGTATTTACTGAATGAACAAACCATTGGTAATATCTTGGGCAAGTTACTTCTCTGAAGTCAGTTTCCTCAACTCAGGGGTACTTGGACTTGACCATGGAAATAGTTCACGATTTAATGTTTATATTTCTCTGCCTGTGAGAATTGAGTACTAATTAGAAACATCTTTAAAAATGTTTGTTAAATAGAAAAGGTCCAAGAAAAATGGCCCATTATCTCATGCGGAAAACCTGGATTCATATATTCCCCTCCCTTTTATACTTTTAGGTGGCCACTGAGCTGTGTCTGTGGCCACTGTCTCTGTCCTCCCCCGTCCCACCTCCCCTACTCCTTCCATTATGCCTGCCTCCACATGTCCCAGTGTGTGCATCTTGGAGGCATGTTTATGTTGAGCAGGGCATCCTTTATTGAGTTGTAACTGTCCGACTTGTAAATCTAAGGGAGGAAACGATGGAGCCTTCTCTCTCCACTGACACTGAGGTCACTCAGGTCAGCCACTCTTTACGGGGGGTGGTGGCCCATGAGGCTCTGCTGTCTCTGCAAACAGACTGGGGTGGGGCTTTAGGCTGGGCTCTCCAGGCCCTCAGCCTTTGCAGGTGTGCAGGACAGTTTAACATTTGAAGGATAGAGATGTTTGGCGACATGGGGCCCACATGTGGTCGGCCACTTATTTGGTACCTAAAGCAGGGCGCTATGTGGCTCAGCACAAGGGCACTGTCTCCCCATGGCCACAGTTCCTGGCACCACTGCCACCTGAACGCACAGGAGCTAAAGTTACCTGATGACTCAAGTGCCTGAGCCTCCAACCTACCAAAGGGGACAGGCATCAACGCTTCCTGTAAGTGAACGTACCCCAACACCCATCCTCAAAGGACAGCCAACATGGAAGATTCAAGGGAAATTTTTTTATTCTTCTGTTTCAGAACTGTGAAAATTTTAAATTAAATGGACACTTTCCCTAGAAGTTTCCTCAAACCCATTACACGTTTCACTGATTTTCTCTTTTGGTTGGTGGACACAGGTGACTGACTGATAGAGGTGCCTTTGCCGTAATGTAAAAATCTGCTTTATTAGCAGGACGGACTCCCAATCAGGTCATAGGACCCTGTTTCTTCACATTTGTCAACTCAATTCAGTTTCATGGATGGCATTAGATTGAACCATATGAAATTCTATTTTTGTGGGTAAAAATGTTCACGTGTTGAAAATTTTATATTTAACTTTAATAGGGTGGGACACAATAATCCAAGGAAATGAATAAGCTTGTTCTTGAAGAAATGTGCAAGGAATGAACTTTAGAACATCCAAATTAAAGGGATTTTTAAAAAGTCACAGTCTACAGGATATTTGATAAACTTTATTGAAATTATTTATTCCAGAAAGAAGTGATAAGTTCTAAATGCCTATAGTACATGTTCTTCAAAAGAAATTTCACTGTGCTATTATGAACCAGGTTAATAATATTTCATATTTAGACATCAGTATTATAAAAATTAACACGCTTATATTTAAAAAGTTGAAAAAATAAAACATCTACAACATTTTGGATATTTTAGCATTAAAAAATGTATTTAAATACCTATTTGCTGTGACAAAGAATGATGCATTGTAACAAGATAACTTTCAAGCTTTTAAACATAACTAAAACCAAATATAATTCATCCAAAAGACTAAAAAATATAAAGTGGGCATTTACTTGAAATTACGAAGATTTTTATGCAGTGTGTATGTATGAGCATATGTATATGTGCCATTTTTTAACCTTTCTTAAGCAGACAAATTGGGCCTGAGCCTGAGGGCAGCACGGGAAGCCGCTCTGCACGTCCTGGTGTTTCGTTTTCCTGGATGCCATGTCTTCAGTTAACACTACTCGAAAGTGAAGTGCCTTGAGGACATTGTGCTAAGTCAAATAAGCCAGACAGAGAAAGACAAATACTGTATGATCTCACTTATGTGAAAAGAAAAAAAACTCACTGAAACAGAGAACAGATTGGTAGCTGTGAGAGGCAGGGCTGGGGATGAAGGATTGGGTGAAGGTGGTCACAAGGTACCTCAGGTGTAAGATGACTAAGTCCTGGGGATGGAATGTACAGCATGGTGACTATAGTTAACAATACTGTATTATATATCTGAAAGTTGCTAAGAGAGTAGATCTCAAAAGTTGTCATCACAAGGAAAAAAATTTTTTTAACTATGTGAAGTGATGGATGTTAACTAAACTTACTGTGGTGATCATGTCTTATTATATTCATAGATTAAATCATTATGTTGTATAACTTAAGCTAACACAATGTTAAATGTCAATTATATCTCAATGAAACTGGAAAAATTGTGGCATTGCAAGAAGGAGCCAAGTGGGATGGCACTGAGCCTGCAGAGAATGGAAGTTGCTCGGACCCCAGAAAAAGCATGCTCCTCAGGTCTGTGTGGATTATATAAGGAGGAAGTGAGGTAGCCCTGGGAACACAGAGCCAAAGGTACAAGATTTTATGAAACGGCATGCATCTTTTCATCTTATTTTAATGGCAGCAAATATAATATATAATAGAACATGACTAACATTTATCAAACATTTTTTCTCATAACTTTTTAATACCATGGAATTCCCATTTTAAATGAAAACATCAGATATTGTCAATGGAAAAACAATTTACAAAGTTCTATTTACATGTAACTTTTCCAGAGTGCACCTATTGCATAAAGTATGTGGGTTATTTCATTCAAATAACAAGAATTTGCCATTTAATGATAAAGATAATTCTCATTGAAATCTCTAAAAATTGCTAGTTGTTTAAAACACAAAATGTTTATTTGGTCTTTTAAATGACAGGCACCCTTATAAAATGTATTTCTTCTATACTTTAGACTTACTAGCTACAAATATATAGCACCAACATCCATTTTAATAATATCAACATTAGCAATTAATATTTTTAAAATACAAGTTCATGTAGACATACTAGAAAAAATTTTGACAAATATAAATATAAAGTTTTATAAAATGGGAAGTTAAAGCTTTAAAAAAACCCCAGCAATTTAAAAATGCAAGTGTTCTTTGATTAGATCACCAGATAAGTTTAAATTGGTTAGACTACAAAATTTAAGGTCTTACACATCTTTGGTTTAAAAATCCAGACTACTTCACAACTCTAATCTATTACAAAATTTTAGAGCAATATAGAAATTCCAGAAGTTAATAAAAGGCTAAGAGGTGCCATATTTTTAAAGATCAAAGTAAACATCAGTTTTCTCCCCTGTAATTACAATGCTCGAAAGATTTTTCTATATCCAATCGGATGAATGTTTAAAGTCATTTATGAAGAAATTATATAATGAACTATTGTAGCTCAGAACTGGAATGGTACAAGCAAAACACTTAACTTCTTCATACTAAAGATTTTATCCATAAGTATGACATACAACTTTAGGTAAGGGCTTGTCTACCTATGTTAAAAAAACAAACTCATGGAGGAGGGGGTAACATACTAATCAATGTAATGACTCACAGGATAGTGCTACAAGGCAGCCTTGCTGAGAGTGTAACGGTCGCCTTGCCCCTGCTCCATGCGGCCCCCAGCCTGCTGGAACAGTGCAGTGTCTAAAATCAAGTACGTTTCCAAAGTTGTATATGAAAAGGAGAGAGAGAGAGGAAGAGAAAGAGAGAGAGAGAGAGACTTCCTAACTTAAAAAAAAAATCAGCAGCCTGTAACTGAAAGGAAATAGTGCAAAGTCAATCTTAGGCCCCTTTAAAACATAAAACATTAGATACTGATACAAAGCAACAAACACACCCTGTTAAGAAGCCTTATACCACAGTACACAGGAAGTTGCCCAGTCATTGGATAAACTGTCCACCGTAAGCCGAAGGAGCAGAAAAATAATTTTTTTAAAAATTGACAACAGACTTCTCTGCTCCTGTGAAATGAGATTCTCCCTTAGAAAAATCTCCCTGTAAATGGTACAGCCAGGCCTGCATTTCTGAGGCCAGGGTGACTCGGATTCCTCTGCCCTGCTTTCGGCAGCTGTAAGACTCCGCCATCTCCGGTCCAGAGGCTGCCCCGAAACAGGGCAAGGATACAGGTCCAAATCGCCCATCGCACTGGCGGTCTGGAGTCAGCTGCCCACCACAGTACACTGTTCAATTGTTCACTTTGATTCTTTGAGAGTAACAGGAAGACAACTTTTGTTATGAGAAATTACTTTTACACAATATGGACAGAAAAGCACAAGATGACAGGAAACAATAAAAACTGGGTTTATGAAGAAGAGCAGATTTCCTGTTTGGAAAATTTGTAGTGAGTGATGATTAAATACCGTTTATGGAATTCTGCACTGCATATAGGAACACTGATTTAGATGCGTGCCAGTTTCTAATTTAACTGTTTCATCAGTTTAACTGCCGTTTTGCATGCTCCTCAGACTTCACCTCCATCACATTTACTGTAAACAACAGCTTTCTTTTTCTCTTACCCTATCTAACCAAGAGTTGGCTATCTGCCTTTTACGGGAACAGAATAGCTTTCCTACTCAGATGCTTTTTACTATGGGCTTTCACAAAAATCTACTAAAGTCCACAGTATTAAAATGAAACACTGTAATCAGTGTAGACATCACTATACTCTTAAAGATACATCAGACAAGTGCAGTAACATCAGACAAGTGCAGTAACCTGGAATGCATTTTCTCTCTCCTAGAGGCCTGCTTTTACTTCTAAACAGACGACTAGATTTTGAGTCACCTGGTTTAAAATTCTGGCATTGTGCTTTCCTGACAGAAGCAAAAGCACAATCTCTCCAAGCTCATGTGTTCTAAAACACGGAAATCTCTCCCATCCTGGAATCAGGAGCTTTGAAGTGCTTGTACCTGTGAGGTGCACAGCAAGTCTGATATCAGCAATGTCCCTTTTTTTAACAAAGAGATTTGGTCCTTAAAATGTTTATATTATTCTACATGTGACTTCCTACACTTTCTTATAATTGTATTTTTTTTTTTTAACTAAGACCCACCATAAACCACTCAATTAAGCTAAATTAAAATTGATTTTAGCAGAAAGTAGAAATAATGCTTTAAAATATAAAATGTCACCTACTATTGATTTTACAGTTTGAAACTTGTAACTTAAACTAGAAAAATATACATGTAGTTGAAAAAAAAAAAAAAGAAAGAAAAATTTCCAGTCTTTTCCCTTCTACCCAGGAAAATTTTATATCTGATATCACCAACATGAGTCCTGATGACCTTCAGAAGTCTTCCAAAGGTTATGCCTTGGCGGACTTACTGGTGGTCTCCTTCAACTCGTTTCTTGCGAACTATGAGAAAAATAAAGAAAGTTAGAAATCCCTGTTCATTTGTACAAACTTAACTTGCTTTTTACAAACAAGCTAATGTAAATCCAGCGATAGTTGTACAAACATTAAATGTCCATTTCCAATTCACATGGTCATTAAAATAAAAAATTCACATCCCTTTCCTTGTCATTTACCTGCTGAGAAGTGAGGGGTTTCAAAGTGAGAACTACATGCCCTCGCTCACCTGTGCTTACACAGCCAGAGCATAAGAAATCTAAAACTGGTCAGCAATCGCATTCAAGTCCACTGTGCTGTCTCATCTGTTTACTGAAAAAGTTGATACCTCCATTAAAAATAATAAATGATTGTGTTAAATCCTGAATTGACACTCAGGCAGCCACAAAAATCTACTAAAGTCCACAGTATTAAAATGAAACACTATAATCAGTGTAGACATCACTACACTCTTAAAGATACATCAGACAAGTGCAGTAACATCAGACAAGTGCAGTAACCTGGAATGCATTTTCTCTCTCCTAGAGGCCTGCTTTTACTTCTAAACAGACGACTAGATTTAGTAGATTATAGTATCAACAATATCTGCATGCTCTTCTGATTAGGCACTACAGTACAGCTCAATTCCTTAGTCTGTGAAAGAACATAGTGAAAACGGTTTTGTCATTCATTTTTTTAAAAATATATATATTTTATTAATTTTTTACAGAGAGGAAGAGAGAGGGATAGAGAGTTAGAAACATCGATGAGAGAGAAACATCGATCAGCTGCCTCCTGCACAGCTCCCACTGGGGATGTGTCCGCAACCAAGGTACCTGCCCTTGACCGGAATCGAACCTGGGACCCTACTGCTCTCCAAATTTTCCTTCTCTTTTCTCCCACAAAATGAACTGGCTCAGGGCTCTGACAAAATAAATGCAAAGTAATGAAAATCTCAGATGCTGGTAATGTGGTCAGGTCACAGCTGGCTACCATAACCTTTGGCTGTCAAAGAGGCCAGCCAACTAGTTCAGCTGATGGAGTAAAGAAGGTACATGCATCTGAGGACCCCCCAGCGTCTTCGTGGATGGGTGGCCCTAACGCACCAGGCTGTGCTCACTAGTAGCAGGGCAAGGTCTTCAACTTCAGGATCTTGTTACTCTTACCTATCAGCCACCAGAGAGCATTTGATAAAAGGGGCAAACATTTTACTGTAATGCTGAAATCTTTTTTAATAGCTCCAAGGGGTGACTTAGAGTAAAACATTATAGGAAGTATAAATGTTTATTGTAGAAAACTGTTCACCAGAAGCTGTGAAATATTATTTTCACATGAAGTTGATTTTACCCACTAACCAACCCAATAATCACTACAGCTTTCCTTAAACTGAATTCTGATCCAGTCAGTATAAAAGGACCATGCAGATATTAGAAACCTAGGCCAAGTCATCTCTATTAAAATTTATTTTAAAAGCAAAAAAGGCTTCTCCAATACATTAGGTTAATGGCATGATTCAGAAATTCAATTTGTAATTGTATGTCTTACCTAAGTCATTGTTTTTTGTTATAGCATTAGCTGCCCTGGTTCGGGGTCCCTGCTGTGTAAACCGATATCCAAACTTAAGGATATTTGTATTTTCCTCAAGCATCTTCGCCATTTCCAATTCTACAGCTGTCCCCAACTGCTGCCTCTGGAATAATCAGAAATAAAGAATAGTGTTAATAAACTAGATCAAAATACTTTTCTAGGTAAGTCAAGACTAAGACATTGAGGTATGCTGATTCTGTTGTTATTTTAAAATTTTCCCAATTCTTATAGTATACAAGGGAAACAGAAGTTTAAAGTTCAGTATTGATCATATAGACATCAAAAAATTGTGGATTTCCATAATGAGATACCCTTCATACCCACAGGATGACTATAATAAAAGAGACAGAAAATAATAAGGGTTGGCAAGATTGTAGAAGAAAATGGGACCCTCAGACATGCTGATCGGAATGTAAAATGATGCAGCTGCTGCAGAAAACAATCTGACATGCCCGTATGACCTGGCAATGCCACTTCTAGGTACAGACCCACAAAAAATAAACACACACGTTCATACAAGAACCTGTATATATAAATGTTCACAGCAGCTTTATTCCTAATATTCAATAAGTAGAAACAACCCAAACGTAACAATATTATTCAGCTAAAAAAAGAATAAGTACTGATATGTGCTACAACATGGATGAACCTCCAGAACATTTTGCTCAGTGCAAGGCGGCAGACACAAAAGACCACGTGGTATACAATTCCATTAATATGAACTGTCTAAGATAGGCAAATGCAGAGACAGAAAATAGAGGTGGGAGGGGTGAACAGGGAGTGACCGCTGGTGGGTATGGAGTTTCTTTTTTTGTTGTTGTTAATCTTTGCCCAAGGATTTTTTTCCATTGATTTTTAGAGAGTGGAAGGGAAGGGGGGGGAAGGGGGCAGAGAGGGAGAGAAGGAAGGAGGAAGAGGGAGATGTAGAGAGACAGAAAGACACACACGGATTGGTTGCCTCCCTCAGGAGCTTCAACCAGGGCCTGGGGTCTGGGATGGACCTGCAACCCAGGTACCTGCCCTTGAGCAGTGCTCGGGCTGATGCTCTACCACAGAGCCACACAGGTCAGGGCAAATTTCTTTTTGCAATGCTAAAAATGTTCTGGAATTAGACAGTGGTGATGGTTGCATAACTCTATGAATATACTAAAGACCCATACTAAAAATATCAAATTAATATTCCAGATGCCTCCAATGTCCTCTCATCCTCTTTTATGCCACCTTCCCAAATAGCTCCCTGAAAGCCCTCCTCCCACACGCCTCCTGAGTCCCCAAGCCCTGCACAGCAGTGTCGGCTGTAGCTTCCTCAAAGTTACTGCTGCAGAGCACTGACCTGATTGTCAATCTTGAGCTCAGTGAGGGTCTCATTATCTTTTAAAGCATCAATCAGTGCTAGAACCCCAGCTCCTGTGATAAAGTTGGACTCCATATTTAAGCTCTTCAAATTTTTGTTCACTTTCAGCATATCTGCAAAAGCCTAGAAGTTAAAGAAAATTTTGGAGATTAAAATCTGACAATTATACACTGTACACGTCATAAACAAATATACTAATTAACATAACTGCCTTACTGTTTCTCATTTGATTGTTTGAGTTTGACACCTACCTTATAGGTCTCACATGTATCCACTTTGCACATGTACCCTGTCACAATCTTTTTTTTAAAGAAAACATGTTTTTATTAATTTTTATTTTATTATTTTTTAAATATATTTTTTATTGATTTCAGAGAGGAAAGGAGAGGGAGAGAGAGATAGAAACATCAATGATGAGAGAGAATCATTGATTTGGCTGCCTCCTGCACAACCCACACTGGAGATTGAGTGCACAACCTGGGCATGTGCCCTGACCGGGAATCAAACCATGATTTCCTGGTTCACAGGTTGATGCTCAACCACTGACTCACGCTGGGCTTATTGATTTTTAGGGAAAGAGAAAAACATCGATCGGCTGCCTCCTACTCACCCCTCTCCGGGGATTGAGCCCACAACCAAGGCAGGTGCCCTGATGAGGAATCGAACCAGTGACCTTGGTACATGGGGCAATGCCCAACCAACTGAGCAACACTGGACAGGGCCCCTGTCAAATCTTTAGATTTTTCTGTCACATGTAATTCTCTGTTGGCAACATTCGCCATTGCTAGTTAATCCTCATGCTCATCCACACCCTTTGTCATGTTTTCTCTTGTCCCTCATCCTTCTGCCAGTTCCTGTGTAGGACTGACTTCATCAATGTCTCTTTGAAATATTTTTTCCTCATTTAGGTCCTGGCGCAGCTGGATTACTGCAAAGCCAAAATGAGGGTAAATTATGGACTGATTTCCAAGGCAGAGACCAAAAAGAATGCCTAAGACAGAAGGCCAAAAGAGATCACAGATAACTAGAACTGCAAGAGCACAAAGACTATGGAGAAGAAGGGGCTCACTAAACATTCATTTCCTCAAGGAATGCTCTGTCTTCACTCTGCTTCCTTCCCTTTCTCACAGGACATGGTAGTGCTAGGCATTTGATCCAGTGCATAATAAACACCATATTAGCCCTGGCCGGTTTGGCTCAGTGGATAGAACTTCAGCCTGTGGATTGAAGGGTCCTGGGTTTGATTCTGGTCAAGGGCACATGCCTAGGTTGCAGGCTTGATCCCCAGTAGTGGGTATGCAGGAGGCACCCAACCAATGATTCTCTCTCGTCATTGATGTTTCTATCTTTCTCTCTTCTCCTCTCTGAAATCCATTTAAAAATAAACACCATATTAATTTACCAACAGAAACTTGTGAGAAGAGGAAAAGGAGAGGGAAGGAAAGAGGGATAAGTTAGAATATGAGTAAGTTTATATAAAATAGCCCTTTAGAAAGGTCAAACATAAGGTCAAACTCTAGAAAACATGTGGAAGGAAGATCCAGCTTAAAGTTAACTTAAAAGAAAAGGCAATGGGGGTGGTGGTGATGGAATACTATAAAGAACTTGGGACAGTCCTAGCTGGTTTGGCTCAGTGGATAGAGCGTCGGCCTGCGGACTGAAGGGTCCCGGGTTCAATTCCGGTCAATGGCACATGCCCGGGTTGCGGGCTCAATCCCCAGGCAGCTAATCAATGATTCTCATCATTGATGTTTCTATCTCTCTCTCCCTCTCCCTTCCTCTCGGAAATTAATACAAATATATTTAAAAAAAATAAAGAACTTGGGACAGATTATCTATACACTGGTACTTTCTATTAGTGACAACTAGCTATGTGACTTAGAACAAAACCCTTATTCATCCTTCTGTACATACACTTATTCAAATATTATTGATGGCTTATTATTTGACAAGTACTACTACTCTGTAGATTCAGAAATAAAATATGCCTGATGGAACTTGCATTCTAGTGGGGGGCCCAAATAATAAGCAAGCAGAATGTAATGTCAGATGGTAAAGAGGGCCAAAGAGGAAGAAAAAAAGAGAAAGCAGGGCAGGTGGGGAGTGTGGGGGTAGGAGTGAGGTTACTATTCTACATAGGGTGGTTAGGAAAGGTTTCGCCTAAAAGGTGACATTTGAGCAAAGACTCAAAGTGATGAAGTGAAGCTATGTGGAACATCTTTTGCAAGGAAGTTCTAGGCAAGAGGAACAAGTGTAAAGGTCTTAAGCTGGGAAGATGGGTAGCATATTTGAGGAAGAGCAAGAAGCTGCATGGCTATAGTACAATGAAAGGGCAGTAAAGAAGATGAGGCCTGCACATGTAAGTCCTTATAAGGCCTATAAGGTATTTTGATTTTTACTTGAATGAGATAGGGAGCTTCTGGGAGTTTCTGAGCATAGGAATGAGATAATTAAATGAAGTTTTAAAAGAATCACTTTTGATATTACGTAAGGACTTGGCTTTGGGCTGAGTAAAATGGAGCAGGCAGCTCAATTAGGAGGCTATTGCAATAATCCAGATAAGAGGAGGTAGTGGCTTACACAGGATGGTAGTTGTGAAAATGGTGAGAAGTGGATAGAGTCTACAAGTATTCTGAAGACAGGGCTGGATACATTTAAGGTTGTAAGAAAGGAAAATCAAGGGTGACTCCATTTCTTTTTCTCTTAAGCAAATGAAAGAAACAAGCTGCTTTGATGAAAAAGGAAAGACAGACAAAATGGGATGGAATGGAAGTTAGGAGTTTGGTTTGGGATTTAAATTTGAGATGTCTCTTAGACACCTAAATAAAGTTGCTAAGTAGGTAGCTGGACAAGAATATGGAGTTCAGGAGAGAGGTATGAACTGGAGATAATAACACTGGTAGCCACTAGCATTTATAGATAATATATATCAATGAAACAGAATGAAATCATCAAGAAAATGAATGTAGACAGAGAAAAGAAGAGGGCCGATGACCGAGCCCTGGGCTGTTCCAATGCTTAAAAGAGGAGAAACCAGCACAGGGACGGATAAGAGAAGGGATGTCCAGCTGAGGCAGGGGGAGAATCAAAGGGAGAGGGAGTGATGTCCTCAAAGCCAACTGAAGAAAAAGGTTCACACCATGATCAAGAGGGATTTACCCAGGACTGAAAGTTTGATTTAATATACAAAAATTAATCAATGTAATATACCATATTAACGGAATAAAGGACAAAACCACATGACCATCTCAAGAGACACACAAAAAGCATTTGACAAAACCCAACATTATAGATCCATAAATAGAATCTTCTGCAGATAGTAAATAATTGGTGTGGAACTTTATGTACTGATATGAAAAGATCTCTTAAGACATACTGTTGAGTAAAAAATAAACTGCAGAATAGCATATATTTTATGCCTCCATTTATGTTTTTAAAAATTATAGAAAGGAAATATAGGAAAAAATAAATGTAAAAGAGCAGTAGATCATATACTGCTTAATAGAGAGTTAAACATCAACTGTAAAAAGGGAGTAAATTGTGTTCATAAAAACACAGTTTAGCCATCTCTGTAACACCCTGATATGTAGTTATAATTTTGACATTATCAATAGTTAACTTACATACTGATGGTTGCCAGAGAGGAGGAGGGTTGGGGGTGCAGGTGAAAAAAATGAAGGGATTAAGAAGTACAAATTAGTAGTTACAAAACAATCATGGGGATGTAAAATACAGCATAGAAAATGGAGTAAAATGGAGCAGGCAGCTCAATTAGGAGGTAATACCTCCTAATGTTCGGTGCCATTGTAATACCTATGTTTGGTGCCATTCCCTTCTCACAGGACATGGTGAGTTTATATAAAATAGTCCCCTAGACTTATGGGGAGGGGGGATCACTTTGTAAGTTATATAAATGTCTAACCACTATGCTGTACGCCTGAAACTAGTATAATATTGAACGTCAACTGTAATTGAAAACTTTTTAAAAAATGTAAGTTACTTACAAAAGCAACAGGGTCATTGCTCCGCGTGGCTGCAAGACTTAAATATTTCACGTGTGTGTTGGTTTCCAAAGCCTTCGCAAAATCTTTTAGGGTTGGGATTGGAATATTCTTAAAAAACAATAATGCAAAACATTACATTTCAGTCCAGTAATCAAGTAAATATTTACCTTTTCTTGTTAAAATGCTCTCAGGAATTACATAAACACACAATAGTCTACAAATAAAAACAATTAACTGCTTCCTCCATATCTGTCTGACTTCTCTATCAAGGTACATCTGCACAAACTGTTGACCTAGAGCAAAGAATATATCACCATTTCTCTAGCATTTAAGTTAAAGAAGCTCTTGTGATTTTACATTTAACTGTTCATATCATAAGAAGTCAACATCTGAGTATTCAAAGTGGACCCATTTCTACAAAGAGAAAGGTGTGGGAGCCCACCTCTGAGTATGATTCCTGGGGCAGATGACATACTGTTCTTAGTCCCTTAGTTTAAACTACCAAGTATTAAGAGAGATTAACCCTGCTTTCCACTACTTGACACGCGGAAAGATGTAGTTCTAGAAGGCACTAATTTCCCCTTTAGTCCCAAGACTTTAATTTCCTGTAGCCGTGTTACTTGTAGATCATTACTGTTGATTTACAGAGATTCAGGGAGACAATTTTTAAGGAATGAATAAAATGAATGACCAAGTAGGGACATTAGCTTTCCCCACGTTGTTCTTTCCTCCATTCACACCCATTAAAAGAGCGCAGAGGTTTTATTCCCTTGGTTCTTATAATTTCCAGATGTTCCCTCTACCCCAAATTCAGATAAATCAAGATATAATACTCAAGAGAAATGAAAACATGTTCACACAAAGCATATGACTGCATGTGAATGTGAACCGTGGTTTTATTTATAATCATTCCAAACTGGAAGCAACCCATACGTCTATCAACTAATGAATGGATAAACAAATTGCACGATATCCCAACAACAGAACACTACTCAGCAATATAAAGAAACAAACTGCTGACACAAGCAAAAACATGGATGAACCTCAAATGCATTATCCTAACTGAAAGATGCCAGGCTCTAAAGGCTACATACTATATGATTCCATTTACACTACATTCTGGAGAAGGCAAAATGATAGGGGAAAAAAAGAGATCAGTGACTGTCAGGACTAGAGCCAGGGCCATGACGACAAAAGGTGTGACATGTTCTACATCTGACTGTGCTAGTGGTTGTTCAACTGTATGGGTTTGTCAAAACTCACAGAATAATATAATGAAAAAGGAGAATTTTACTTTATATAAATTAGACCTCAAGAAACCTGATTAAAAACACAAAACCCAAAAGACTAAATGCTCTGAAAAGTAGGCAGTACTTTGCAAGCCAGAGAGAGGTAGTCTAATAGGATCTACATTTCTATGTGATACTCTTTTAAAAAGCAAGTAAGATAAACACTGTATTACTTTAATTTTTAAAATATGGAAGAATCTGTGTTACCACAGTGTTAGGAGCAAACACTTCACCTTTAAGTAGAAAGAATTATACTATATCAAAACTGCCCAGCTCTCACCCTAGATCCACCTGACTCAGCAATTCAAAACTTAGTTTGCCTGGCACACCTACCTTTATATTATTCAAATTAACTTCAACAAGACGAACATCATTTTCTTTAATTCTCTTTAAACTCTCTTCAACGTTGGTTGGATTTGGTGGCTCATCAAATACTGGGACCATCTTTTCACCTTTTACCACATCTGTAGTAACAAATGAGAAAAACAAGTGTCTCAGTGGCTGATACTATTACAGTGGATGGATATATTAACTTGGTAACACATATCTCTCCCCCCCCCACCCCCCCCTCACACACACACTCAGTAGGACTAATTTAAAAGTTTCTTCCCCACAATTTCTAAATTGTCCTTTGTGCATAAAAATAAAACTGTATTGAATATATAAAAAATAATTCATTTTACAGTGAGGCCTTGACTTATGAGTTTAATTCGTTCCGAGACCGAGCTTGTTAAGGAGCTTGTTAAGGGGCTCGTTAACTCAAATTACTCTATCAACTCAATGCAAAAAATTGGCTGAGAGACAGCTGGTATCTCAAAAAACTCGTTAGTTGGGACACTCGTAAGTCAAGGCCCCACTGTATTTGCAAAACATCAGCCTTCAAAAATGCTTATTTTCATGGCCTCTTGGTGTATTACAAAATTACCACTAAAATACATTTGATAATACACACCAATGATCCCATTTATTTGTTGCAATGTTTAAGATAAAGTTCAAATATGATTAACTTTACCATCTCGTATGATTTCTCTGTGATCTGCTAGTAATTACTGTAAAGGCAGGGAGAATCACAGATTTAAAGAAACAGAGCCTTGATAAGAACAACAAGGTGATGGAAGTACACAGGTCTTCTTCCCATGGGGAGTACTACACAATGGGAAAAGGGGTGGACTCTCCATTAGGAAGTAAAGTAGGAATAAGGAATGGGGAGACAGAGAGAAGTAACAGTACACAGAGGAACTACTGAGGCAGAAATTTCAAATTCTATTTCCTTCCTTCACTCCTACCTCCAATTCTTCACCGTATATACTCTACCCATACACATGGCCAGGATACAACTATGCAAAGTTGAAAGGGGATCTAGAAGGCTTGTCCTCTCTAATGACACTTAACACATTCCCCCCAGAGATATGACCATCTTGATATGCACCCTAATGTGATTTAATCACCACCTAGGAAGCATTCAGTCCAAATTTAAGACCCCAAAAACTGCACCTGAATCTGATCAAGCCTAGAGAAAATAAGTAACAGTTTACAGAAACATAGGAGACAGAGACATCTGTAAAATGATACCACAAGGTTGCAATCAGCCAAATCCAGAATGTGGGATATTCTACATATGTAACAGCTCAGTTTCTTAAAAATGGCATGAAGAAAGGGGGAAAGAGGTTGAGGAGGGGAACTATTAAGAAATTAAGAAAAACTGAAACCAAATGACAACCAAATGCAGTTGGTGACCCTTATTTGGATCCTGATTTGAACAAACTGTGAAATGATATTTTTGAGAAAATGAGAAATCTGAACATGAACTGAGTATTAGATGATAAAAAGGAATTATTGTTAATATTTAAGTTTGATAATGGTATGTTAAAAGGAAAGTCTTTGTCCAGCTGGTGTGGCTCTGTGGTTGAGTGTCGACCTATGAACCACAACGTCACGGTTTGATTCCTGGTCAGGGCACATGCTTGAGTTTCAGGCTCGATTCCCAGTAGGGGGTGTGCAGGAGGCAGCTGAGCAATGATTCTCTCTCATCATTGATGATTTTATCTCTCTTTCCCTCTCCCTTCCTCTCTGAAATCAATTTAAAAAATTATTCCGGGGGGAAGAGGGAGGTGGGCAGTAAATGGGTTGAGAGGCAGACAATGGATGATATAAGGCTGACAAAATGTTAAAAACAGCTGAAACTGGGCAATGACTATATTATTCTCTCTTCTATTATGTATGCTTGAATATTTCTACAACAAAAAGTTGAAAGAGAGGGGGAATGGCCAAATCATAGAACACTCACAAAATGGAGTGTTATACAGATGTTCAAATATGGTAGCTCTATATGTTAACTAATCAGGAAACACAATATAGTGCTAAGTAATATATACTATACAGCATGGGTTAAAATCCTCATCACTGACTTTGTGTGACATTCAAGTTAGTTAATCATTCTAAAATCTCAGCTCCCGTATATGCAAATAAAGGATAATATATAATAATACCTATTTCATAGAACTGTTGTGAGGATTAAATAAAAACAATTTCTATTTAAGAGCTGTGCACAGAATATGGCCCACAGTCAGCATTCAGACAATCAGCCAATTGTATTAGTTTTGAAAAATTACGTTATTTTATTAACCAATGTCACCCCAATAAATTAAATAAAAAAGAAAATTAAGTTGTAAGAAATATCTATAGTATGATCCCATTTCTGTAAATAAACAAAAGATTACACATCCTATCTAATAAAAGAGAAACATGGTAATTAGCTGTACATCCGCTACTCTTCCCATTGGCCAATCAGTGTGATATGCAAATTAACTGCCAACTAAGATGGTGGTTAGCCGCCAACAAAGATGGCAGTTAATTTGCATATGTAGGTACAATGCTGGGAGGCGAAAGGGAAAGGACGGAAGAAGCCCCCTGCCACTGACGGTGATTGGAAACCCAGGGGGGAGCTAAGAGCTGGGGGCAGGGCAAAGGCGGCCCTGGGGGCTGCCTTTGCCCTGCCCCCAGCCATGCTCAGAGAAGGTGCCCGGCCAGTGACAGCGAGAAGCAGGGGTGGAGCCGGCAATGGGAGCTGGGTAGGGGTGGAGCCGGCAGTCCGGGGAGCTAGGGGTCCCTTGCCCAGGCCTAAAGCCTTGGCCAAAGACGTTAGGCCTGGGCAGGGGTGGAGCCTGCAATCGCTGGGAGCTGGGGGTCCCCTGCATAGGCCTAAGGCCTCGGTCAGAGACATTAGGTCTAGGCAGGGGCAGAGCGGGAGATTGGGGGAGCTGGGGGTCCCCTTCCCAGGCCTAATGCCTTGGCCAGAGGCATTAGGTCTAGGCAGGGGCAGAGCCTGCAACCGCAGGGAGCTGGGGGTGCCCTGCCCAGGCCTAATGCCTTGGCCAGAGACATTAGGCCTGGGCAGGGGCGGAGCCTGCAACCGCAGGGAGCTGGGGGTCCCCTGCCCAGGCCTAACCCTTGGTTAGAGGCATTAGGTCTAGGCAGGGGCAGAGCGGGAGATCGCGGGGAGCTGGGGGTGCCCTGCCCAGGCCTAATGCCTTGGCCAGAGGCATTAGGCCTGGGCAGGGGCAGAGCCTGCAATTGCAGGGAGCTGGGGGTCCCCTGCCCAGGCCTAACTCTTGGTTAGAGGCATTAGGTCTAGGCAGGGGCAGAGCAGGAGATCGCGGGGAGCTGGAGACCAGGCCTGACACCTCTGCCGGAGGCCTTAGGTCTTGGCAGGGGCGGTGCCAGAGATCCTAGGTAGCAGGGGCGGAGCCGGGGATGGTGGGAGCTGGGGGTCCCCTGCCCAGGTCTGACACCTCTGCCGGAGGCCTCAGGCCTGGGCAAGGGGCCGATCCAGTGATTGGAGGGTGATGAGGGTCAACTCCTCTGGCCGAGGCATCAGGCCTGGGTGGGGGTGGAGCTGGTGATTAGGGGGATATGAGGGTCCCTTGCCCAAGCCTGAAGCCTGGGTCAGAGGCGTCAGGCTTGGGCGGGGGGTGGAGCAAGCGATCAGAAGGAGATGGGGGTCCCCTGCCCAGGCATGATTCCTGGGCCAGAGGCCTCAGGCCTGGGCGGGGGTCAGAGCCAGTGATGGGGGGAGATCGGAGTGTGATGGGGGTCGACGCCTCTGGCCAAGGTATCAGGCCTGGGCGAGGGCGGAGCCAGTGATCAGGGGGAGAGGGGGTTCCCCCACCCAGGCCTGAATCCTGGGCCAGAGGCATCAGGCCTGGGCCAGGGGCAGAGCCGGCAATCGGAGGGGTCTAGGGGTCCCCTTCCCAGGCCTGACACCTCTGGCAGAGGCGTCAGGCCTGGGCAAGGGGCCGATCCTGTGATTGGAGGGTGATGGGGGTCAACGCCTTTAGCTGAGGCGTCAGGCCTGAGCGGGGGGTGGAGCCGTCAATCGGAGGGTTGTGCAGGTCCCCTTCTCAGGCCTGATACCTGGGCCAGAGGCGTCAGGCCTGGGCGGGGGGTGGAGCCAGCTATGGGAGGGAGATGGGGGTCCCCTGCCCAGGCCTTACACCTCTGGCAGAGGCATCAGGCCTGCGCAAGGGGCCAATCTGGCAATCGGAGGGTGATGGGGGTCGACACCTCTGGCCAAGGCGTCAGGCCTGGGCAAGGGTAGAGCCCGTGATCGGGGGAGATGGGGTTCCCCTGCCCAGGCCTGAAGCCTGGGCCAGAGGCGTCAAGCCTGGGGTGGGGGTGGGTGGGGTGCCAAGCCGCAGATTGGTGTGAACTACAGAGGAAGCACCTTTTCTGACTGCTCATTGGTTAAGCTCCCTGTATGCCACTGGTAATATTCTTAGTAACTTGGGTAATAAGAATCCAAAACGGTGATCTAGGGTTTTTCACCACACTCCTGGTGAAAAAAACGAAGGTCCACTGCTGGAGGGCTAAGAAATGTCATATCCTGCCCTAGCCACTTTGGCTCAGTGGATAATGCCTTGGCCTGCCGATGGCAGGTCTGGGTTCAATTCTGACCAAGGGCATGTACCTAGGTTGCAGGCTCCTCCCTGGCCGGGGCCCAGGTCAGGGCTCATGCAGGTGGCAACCAATCAAAGTGTTCCTCTCATTTTGATGTTTCTCTCTGTCTTTCCCTTTCTCTTTCACATTCTCTAAAAATCAATGGAAACATATCCTCAGGTGAGGATAAAAAAATAATAAAGAAATTATTATTATATGAAAGACACATCTTGAAAATGCCTAAAAAATGTTGTCATTTTTTCATGGTGGCGGGACTGGAGTCCATGTTGATGAAAAAACTTTGCTGGCTGCGGTGACTGGCAGTGGCTGCAGCAGCGGGGTGATGGGGCTGGTTCCTTCCCCTGATCAGCCCGGTCACCTCCCACAAAGGGAGGCCAGACTGCGGCTTAGGCCCGCTCCCCAAGGGGAGCAGGGAGCGGGCCTAAGCTGTCAATAGGACATCCCCTGAGGGCTCCCAGTATGTGTGAGGGGGCAGGCTGGGCTGAGAGACCCCCTCCCCCCCAGTGCACGAATTTCGTGCACCGGGCCCCTAGTACATATATAAGTTTATATAAACATAGTACAAAGCCTAAACAAATATACACCAAATTGCTAACAGGGTTAGGGGTGCATGAGTAGAAGGGATAATTTCTATGAACACTTTTACTTCTTACCTTATACACTTAGGTATTGTTTGTTGGTTTGTTTGTTTGTTCATTTATTTATTTATTTTTTGGTGGGGAGGGAAAGAGGGAGAAGAAGGGGGAGAGAGGAAGAGAGAAATATTGATGTGAGAGAGAAACATAGATCGATTGCCTCCCGTATATGCCCCAACCAGGGATTGAACCTGCAAACTGGGCATATGCCCTGACCAAGAATTCGAACCTGCCACCCTTCAGTGCATGGAACAACACTCTAACCACCTGAGCCACACCAGCCAGGGCAGGTATATACGACAAAAGTATATATTACTTTGATAATTTTAAAACATCACAGACATGAATTTTTTAATCCTCACCTGAGGATATGTTTTGTTTTGTTTTGTTTTTAATTAATTTGAGAGAGACAGAGAAACATCAATGTGAGAAACACTGACTGGTTGCCTCCCGTAAAGGCCCTGACAAGGGATCAAATCCACAACCTAAGTATGTGCCCTGACCAGGAATGGAACCTGTGACCTTTTGATGTATGGGACGATGCTCCAATGAACTGAGCCACCTGGCCAGGGCTCCTATACATGAACTTTTTTAAAAGCTTTGTTTTGGGCTATTTAATACTTTTCATTAAATAGACTAAAAGGTTTGGGCGTTGAATAGTTCTGAGGTTTCTCCTGAATCTGATTTTATAATGTAGTTTGCCAACACTGTTGTAGACTTCCTGAAAATCAGTAACACTGAAAAAAGAATGTCAACAAAAGCCAAGTTTGATTAGCACTTACATTGTTTAGCATTAGTATCACCCGTGAGGTGAGAGTGGTTCCTATTACATTTGCTGACACATTAAGCATAAAATACTTAATCTTCCTTCTTCAATGGTTTTATATACCAATACCATCTAACTGGAATTTTAGGTTTCTAGTATATATACATAACATTTGGTATGTAAACACAGAAGTTGATACATTGAGAAAACAAAATATATTTAACAGAGAATTGGAATTCACAAAGCATTGTAAATACTTACTTGAAAAATGTTCTTGGTCGACACCATTACTACTTCCCACTATATTACAGAACTGTGTATTCGTTATCAAATTGTGCATTCCAAGAATAGCTATGGAGACAGAATAGGAAAATTAGTTTTATTTTCATCAGTGTTAAACATAGAGAATTTTACAACCCAAAATTTCTATTAATGAGTTTAACATTCTCTGGACATTTTTCTACTCAGTTAACTGCAGATTTTGCAGCCCAAAAAGGGAGACAGCATGTTTAAAAATCACCTACAGTCTCCTTCTCATCAATGCCCTTATTATTTTCCCCATAGTTCTGAATTCAGACACAGCTGGAGCTAGCCTAACCTTAAATGCAAATCTACGATTAGCTCCATCTGGTGGCTAAGAAAAAAACTGACACGATCTACTTTGCTGTTCATCCTTTACACAAGATTTCTAGCAACATAATGTGATAGATGGCAGGTTTTCAACTTAACCTTCACTACTTTACATTTGTTAACTCTCATTCATATTTTAGCTAAGAGTAGAATACTGAAAGTATAGCTGAATTCTCATATTAAGATTAAAGTAGATACCCCAAAAATGACACTTGGGAGAAATTTGGTTTTTGTTTTTGATGCCCTTTTGCATAAATGAGGCAGAAGCTACAGTGTGCCCCTTGTCCATTCCACTCTGATGAATTTACAAATCCATCAATCCTCACCACTCCCAGAAATAACACACCTGCTCTGGCTGTGGCAAACACCTTTTCCTGGGTCCTTCCTAAAGAATCTTCACCATCTTTTCAAACATGTTAGTTCTTGGGGTTAAGATCTCCTCATGTGTCCTATTTTTCTATTTAGGAAAATGGCTGTGTTGGGGAGGAGGTGGAGGAGAACTGGTCTTTATAAGAAACCGGCAATGATGAAAATAACAGGGAGGTTTGGAGTGTTCCATACACACTTCAGAGAAGTTGGGAAAGTGTGAGTATAGCTCAGGGCTGACTGTCTGATCTGCTTTCCAGTTACCCACCTTGGGGTCTTTCTGATAAAATGGGACAGTAGTTGACCCCGGCAGCTCTTTCAGTGCTCAGATGGGACGGCTTCTAGCTGAGCGCCAGCTGATGAAACATTTTTATAAAGACTTTCAAAATGGGTAACGTGGGAAAAGATGTCAAGTAATACCATTCCATTAACATAATAATTTCACCATTGAGAGAATTTTTAAAAATGACATTCTTTGCGTCAGCTTTAGAGTAGAAGAAACAACGCCAAATATATGGTCACTGATTCAATAGCGCTCTGCTAGGCAAAGGATGTATTTGCATAATGAATGGAGGTGTGTGCTGGTACTCCCCTCCCCTCCACATTCATTCACAATGTGTTTCAGGAGGTACCTGCGAGGTCACACAATTCTGTATCAGAAGCACTTGTCAAAGCTTCTTCTAATTCTGGATCAAGAGAGATTTTTTCTTCTGTAAAAGTCTGGATAGGTTTCTGTTTAGGGATGAATATTTTCCCTGTAAAATAAAGCGGTTTGTTAATTTACTGCTGTTCTTAACTCATTACCATTTTACTCTAACAAAAATTATTAAGAGTATGTGCAATTGAAGCTAAAATAAATCAAGACTGACATGTAATAATTTCATTTCATCTTCAGTATGTATTTATAAGCTTCCAGTGACCATAAAAGTTGGAATAAAAAAATCTGAGGAATTTTCCCATTTGTGAAAATATAAATAGGCTCTTTTTGGAGTCATTATGAGTTACTCTACAATTAATGAATCAAAAAATAAATGAATAAAGGAATAAACACAAAAATCTATAAAACTTTAAAAAGATTAAAAGAAATTTCACTTTCTTATTCTTTTTTTTTTTTTTAAATATATTTTATTGATTTTTTACAGAGAGAAGGGAGAGAGATAGAGAGTTAGAAACATCGATGAGAGAGAAACATCGATCAGCTGCCTCCTGCACATCCCCCACTGGGGAAGTGCCCGCAACCCAGGTACATGCCCTTGACCGGAATCGAACCTGGGACCCTTCAGTCCGCAGGCCGACGCTCCATCCACTGAGCCAAACCGGTTTCAGCCACTTTCTTATTCTTAAGCAAGAAATCATTACAGTCCCTCCAGGATGGCAGAAGCAATTATTCCAGAAATTCAAGTTCTAATTGCAAAGAAATTCCTGTATGTCCTGAGTGGTAGTCTGAAACTTTTAATCACTGTGCCTCTAAGGCTCAATGGACACTAACAAGGTTACCTATTAAGAAACTAATTTTTCTAGAAACCTATTTGTTATGTGAAAATCAGTATTTTATTACCATATGTCCAATGAAAGATTAAAACTATGAAGGGACTAGTAAATGATAATGATATACTAGTAGCTGTGACACAAGACGCAGTACTCACACATGGTAGGGACTAAGTTACCAAGATTGCCTCTAGTTTCTCTCCCAAGACAGGTGAAAATTCCAATAAAAGATCTAGAAAGGCCTATGTATGAATTCACAGAAGTGCCAATTATTTTGTTTTCTATTAGGGAACTACCAGGGAAAGATGAGAATATGTGGCCTGATGAATCTATTCAGTGCTCTATCAAAAGGAATGTTTGTGGCCTTATAATTAGTGCAGTGAGTTGTGTACTTCTTGCTCAAGGAAAATATCAATTAGTGTGAATAAGGAATCCTTCCACTATATAACTCCCAGGACTCTGGTCAAGGCTGCTCAGGTATTTTCTGCTAAGCTCATCTAAAGGATCTTAATTTCTGATATTATATTTTTTATTTTTAGCATTTCCATTTGGTTCTTAAAAAAAAACAAAAAAAAAACACCCCAAAAAACAGTTTCCATGTCTCTGCCAAAATTCCTCATCGCTTCATACGTGCAGTGCACTTTGTCCATCAGATTCTTTGGCATTTTTATCATAATTATTTTAAAGTCCCTGACTGACCACATGATCTCACTCATTTATGGATAATAAAGACCATTATAAACTGATGAGCAAAAATAGATACAGAGGCAGAACAGCATCAAACAGACTGTCAAACTACAGCCAGAAGGCTGGGGAGGGTTGGGGGGCGGGAAGGGGGTGGTAAGAGATCAACCGAAGGACTTGTATGCATGCATATAAGCATAACCAATGGACATAAGACACTGGGACTTTAAGCAATAAAATAAATAAATGAATAAATGAATGAATGAATAAATAAATAAATAAATAAATAAATAAATAAATAAATAAAATAAAGTCCCTGACTGATAACACCAATATTTGGGTCATCTCTGGGTCTTCTATTGACTGTTTACATTCTTTTAAAATATATTTTTTATTGATTTTAGAGAGGAAGGGAAAGAGAGAGAGATAGAAACATCATTGATGAGAAAGAATCACTGATCGACTCCTTCCTGCAGAGCTCGCACAAGTGATCTAGCCCTAAACTGGGCATGGAATCGAACTGTGACCTCCTGGTTCATAGGTCGATGCTCAACCACTGAGCCACACGAGCCTGGTGACTGCTTACTTACTTGACTATGGGTCACCTGTGTCTCAGGTCTTTGTGTGTTGGGCAGTTTGTATAAGAGTATAGCAGAGACTAAAAGGAGCATGCCCCTCAGGTCAGGGCTGAATCAACATGCAGTTGAGCTGAATGTGGACTTTGCTGCAACATTAGTTTGATTCAGTTCCCCATTGGCTTCAAACATTTTGAGAATGGGGTCAGGACTTTCTCTTTGGCAAGGCCTGGGATGAGAACCCTGGTGAGGACCTGGAGATCTTCTGAGCTTCCTACTTCTTTGAACTGTGGAGTGGGAGAGATTTCTCCCAGTGTGTGGCCCAGGCTGCCAGCTTTCTGGGTAATGCCGGGGGAGGGGGGACTGTCTTTGTTTTCCAGTCCCACTCCATGCTCTCTGAGCCTTGGCAGATCTTTCAGCCCCACCCTGTCTCATCTGCTCTATAGTTTGTGAAGTTCAGGAGGGCCTGGAAGGGATTCTTTCAACTCTCCTGGCTCTCCCTTCGTATCCCCGAGCTGGGAATTTTCTCAGCTCTGCTTCATTGCCTCTGTTCTCTGAGTAGTACTCTAGCACTACTAGGGTAGCAAAGAATGGTGGGTAATGCAGTCTCACCCTGTCTCTAGGAATGCACTGTCCACTGTGGCAGCTACTAGTAACATGTGACGACTTTAATTTAAATTAATTCAAACTAAAATTCAGTTCCTCAGCCATGATGGCCACATTTCAGGTGCACAACAGCCACATTTCAAGTGCTTGACAGCCACACTTGGTTAGCACAGACATAGAACATTTCCACCACTGCAGAAAGTTCTAGTGGACAGCACTGCTCCAGGACTTCTCTGGATTCTAGTCTATCCTGACAGCCCTCACACAGTCACAAAACATTGGTTAAAAGTTAGGCTGATTGCTCCCTAACTCCTCTCTATGGTAGTTTCCTCTTTTTCAGTTAGGAGAGAGCAAGACTGGATCACCTCTCTTATGAAGGTCTTGGCACCTTCTGGAGTAATTTAGATTTGTGTCTTCAAGATCTCTGATAGCTTTTTATTTTTATTACTAGAGGCCTGGTGCATGAAATTTGTGCATGGGGCAGGGGGGTCCCTCAGCCCAGTCTGCACCCTCTCTAATCCAGGACCCCTTGCGGGACATCCCTCTCGCTATCTGGGACCACTGGCTCCTAACTGCTTGCCTGCCTGTCTGCCTGCCTATCTGACCGCCCCCTAACTGCCGGCCTGACCGCCCCCTAACTGCCGGCCTGACCGCCCCCTAACTGCTCCCCTGCCGGCCTGATCACCCCTACCGCCTCTGCCTCGGCCCCTGCCACCGTGGCGTCCGGAAGATGTCGGGTCTAATTAGCATATTACCCTTTTATTAGTATAGATTATCTTTTAAACTATGATTACCCAGAGTAAACTGCTTATTTTGGTTGTTAGAGTGAGAATAACAAGTCTCTTGCAACTTTCTACATCTGAATTAGAAGTCCTTCTGCTCAAGTATTTTCTTATCTAAAAAATGACACTTGGCCAATCCACAATATATAAGGATGGTTTTAACTGCATGTAACAGAATATCCAATTAGAAGTGGTTTAAACTGGTAATTTTCAAACTTCTCATTCACTTAGTGATCTCATTAAAGTATAGATTCTGATGCAGAAAGTCTGATGTGAACTCTGAGATTCTGCATTTCTAATCAAAAGTATTTTTATCTCATTTAATAAGTCCACAGGTATGTGGCTGTTCAGCAGCTCAAGCTTGACATCAAAGATTCAGGCTCTTTTCATTTTTCTCTTTGGCTATAACCAACATGGAGACCTTTGTTCTTAGCCCATCAGTCTCAAGACGATTTTGTAACACTAAGTATCGTGTCTTCATGCAACAGGGTCAGGACAGGAAGGAAGGAAGGGCACTTTCTCAACTGTCAACTTCTATAAGAAAAACTGTCTTCTCTTCTAATCTTACCAATCAGCTCTGGGTCACACAACCATGCCTCTGCTGTAAGGATGTTTAGGAAATAAGCATCTGGCACTTTCAATATATTTCAGAGATGGGTTTGCTAGTAGGGTAGAATGAATAAATGCATTTGTCTCAATACTGAACCAGATGAAGTACAGTTCAGTGCTCCCTTAATTCCCTGAACATTTCACTACAGCTACACTTACACATTTTGCATATCTGTCTGTGCGAGTTTCTCAATGTTCTGTTCATCCCTGCATCCTTCCCTGGCACACAGCAGGCAATCTGATTGTTGAATCAATAATCTGGTGATCACCTGCAGTTCAACTAACTAGTTTTTATAAAGTACTAGAGGCCCGGTGCACAAAAATTTGTGCACTTGGGGTGGGGTGGGGGTGTCCCTCAGCCTGGCCTGTGCCCTCTTGCAGTCTGGGAACCCTCGGGGGATGACCACCTGCTGGCTTAGGCCCACTTCCCGGGGGACTGGGCCTAAGCTGGCAGTCAGACATCCCTCTGGCAGCCCGGGAGCCCTCAGGGGATGTCCACTTGCCAGCGGGGAGCAGGCCTAAGCTGCAGTCGGACATCCTTAGCGCTGCTGAGGGGACAGGAGAGGCTACCACCACCACCACCACTGTACTGGCAACCATCAGCCTGGCTTGTGGCTGAGGAGAGCTCCTCCATGTGGGAGCTCATTGACCACCAGAGGGCAGCTCCTGCATTGAGCGTCTGGCCCCTGGTGGTCAGTGTGTGTCATAGTGACCAGTCATTCCCAGTCGTTCTGCTCTTGGGGTCAATTTGCATATTACCCTTTTATTATATAGGATAGAGGCCTGGTCCATGGGTGGGGGCCGGCTGGTTTTCCCTGAAGGGTGTCCCAGATCAGGGTGGGGGTCCTGCTGGGGTGCCTGGCCAGCCGGGGTGAGGGGCTGATGGGTGTTTGCAGGCTGGTCATACCCCTTTCAGGGTGGGGGTCCCCACTGGGGTGCCTGGCCAGCCGGGGTGAGGGGCTGATGGCTGTTTGCAGGCTGGTCACACCCCCTTCAGGGTGGGGGGTCCCC